TGGCATCACTGTTGTCAGAAGCGCTTTCGCCTTTATCATTCAATCTGGTAGTGGGTATATTGGTGATTCATCTATAAAATTCCTACTACGATTCTGTATTTGCATGGTAGGATGACCTTCAGCTTGGAAGGGACGAGCCTTAAGATATGGCCGTGCTCACACTTTTCAGACTAAATATGTAAGAGATTTTATAACTTACAGTCGATAATATAACATTATTGTAATGATGTAATAGTAATACACTATATTCAATGAACTAATAGTTTTTTATCTACAAGCGTTTGGTTATGACGTTTTTACATAACTATTTTTCCAGTATTTGAGTTATGTCATGAGGCTCATAACACAACTATTTTTGGTGATTTGACAAATGTCAAAGGTTAACCTGTAAAGGTAAAATATAGGTATACAATGACTAATAAACAAAAATGATTTTAAAAAAATTCTTATTTTTCGCTTTGTAGATAAAAAGTTGCACATCACACGTGCGTTTAAACATGACTACAAAACTCGTGTGATTAGAATGACTCGGTCTACGACCTCGTCGTTCTAATCTTTCACACTCGTTATTGTAATTATGTTCATAAACGCACTTGTAATGTAAATAACTATTACATTACAAGTGCATTTATGAACATGATTACAATAACGAGTGCGAAAGATCACACGAGTTTTGTAGTCATATTTAATCGCACGTGTGATGTACAATGTATTTTTTCTACTTGCGTGCGCAAAGTAATAACTTTGCACACTCATTTGCGTGCGCAAAGTTGAACTTTGCGCACGGAAACTCTTTTCGCACTCATTTTTGTTATGCATAATTGCCATAGTTATACTTGATTTTTCAATGTTTTGATGGTTTCTGAATAAACTAATATTCTAAATGAAAGCTTTTAATTGAAATTAACTCTTATTTAACATGATGTTTCTTATCAAAGGTGTCCAAATTGGACCAGTCTGTACTGCTAGAAATCTGTAAAATTTTTGATATTTAAGAGACTCTCATAAAAATATTCTTGCTGATTCTAGAAATTCCAGAAGATGTGAAATGATTTTTGGGTATTTAATTTAAAAAACATTCTGAGGAATTCCAATATATTTTAAATGATTTTTGAAGATTTTGATTTGATTGATTTTTCTAATATTTTAACAATTCAGAGTCCACTTTTTCAAGATACTGGTAGAAAAAATATTGTTCCTAACACTTGCGCAAAGTGTCTTTCCCGCACTCAAAGCTTATCCGAACTCCGCTTCGCGTCGTTCGTCTAACTGCTTTTTCGTGCGGGAAAGTATCACTTTGCGCACTTGTTAGGAAAATAACTATATCTACAAGCGTTTGGTTGTGAAGTTTTTACATAACCATTTTTCTAGTATTTGAGTTATGTCATGAGACTCATAACACAACTACACTTTATTTTTTCCCAAGATAGATTTTAACATTGAAAACTTTGAAACATAAATAATAACGCTTGGCCCTGATTGGTCGCAAAATGAGGTGTTTCTGCAGGTTGACATCAGTTTTACAATAGCGACCAATAAGCGGCATTAGCGGCATTGTTTATGTTTCAAAGTTGACAATGCCAAAATCTATCTTGGGATAAAATAAACTATAGTGATGTTATAGACTAGGTTATGAATTCATAACACAACTAGTGGTGTTATGGACTAGGTTATGAATCTATAACACAACTATTTTTGGTGGTTTGACAAATATCAAAGTTAATCCTGCGAAGGTGAAACGAAGGTAGACAACTACTAATAAACGAAAATAATTGAAAATATCATTCTTATTTTTCGCTTTGTAGATAAAACGTTTTATCTACAAGCGTTTGGTTATGACCTTTTTACATAGGCATTTTTCTAGTATTTGAGTTATGTCATGAGACTCATAACAGAACAGTGGTGTTATGGACTAGGTTATGAATTCATAACACAACTAGTGGTGTTATGGACTAGGTTATGAATCTATAACACATTAGGCATTCCAACGACCTGTCAAAAAGTGCGTTGTGGCGGAAGTTCATTATCCCGTATATGAGAGTATGTAATTTAAAGCTTTTTAATAGTTATTTGTATACCAAGGCCGCGAAGTGCCTTTTAGCGTACGTAGAGAAAAGTTATCGCCGAGGCCGCTTGCGGCCGAGGCAAGATAATCTCGAGGACGCTAAAAAGTTTCGCGGTCATGGTATACACACTATTTTTTGTGCAACCATGAAAATTATGTGGAATTATAGAAAAAATGTACTCCTTTCAACAAACATGTGGAACTAATTACCAGTTTGATGTATAACCTGGTGGCTATGGTGGCACAGCGTTTCCATGGATGTCATGGATGACATATTTTGCAAGTAAACAAATACACAAAAAATTTTGACGGTTCTCAAAAAATCGTGAAAATATCCGACAGCGATACAGATGTTTCACTCTCTTGCACTCCTCCAGAGCTAAAAAATATGGTTCAATCAGCTATTTCTGAGTTAATACCTGGAAAACTAAGCGGCAATATGAAAATTGTTACTGCGAGTTCAAAAAATTGGTGTGACAAACAAAACGTCAAAATGGTGTCTGAAAGCATATTGGCTAATTTAATGCCAAAATGGGAAGTTTTGAGAGTTCAATTCAAAAACACTGGATTATTAGTTGCTTCAGCTTCAGGAGTAAATATTAGTAATAATGCAAACTGTCATGTAAGTGTTAATATTTATCCTAAATAATTTATGTTGTTCTGAAGAATTTGGAAATAAAATTTACTTATTGTTGTTGTCAAAGTGTCAAATTTTGATTTATAGTTTCGCGGCCGGCACCAAGGGCAACGGCCGCGAAATTGAATTTCGCGGACTGTGTGGCGGCCGCGAAAGCTCATTTTGCGGATGGTTGCACAAAAAGTGCATTTTGTGGTTGTTTTGTGAATGAACTCTGTTTATTTTTTATTTTATTGACTTCATTAGTGTTTCTTCCAATGCCACAAACGGGTCTTGAAGTTGATTGTGGAAGTAGTCAGGCTTTTTTCATTGCCCTTTGTTTTAAAAATTTCCAATTAAAACGTGAAAATTTTTCACTACCACTGTTCCTGCATCTGAAATAAAGCCATTTTCGAAATATTCGTAAGAATCTAAGCTTTTGTAGGCCTTGTTTTGCTCATTAATGTGAATTGTCGATCAAAATGTCATCTGGATATTTTTTTAAACTAACCGTTCGCCCAGATCCCGATTTTCCTGCATCCAAATCTTTAAATATTCACTCTGCATCTCAAAAAGTATATAATAACAAAGTAAACTGTAATAAGCTTGAAAATATTCCAAATAAACTCAAGATAAACAAACAAACGTCAAATTTTCCACGGTCGCCATTTTGAAAAATCACGTGGTTTGGAGAGCCTAATTAATAAAGATCATATATTGACAATTACAATTCTTCAATCAGATTTCTGTCACTGGTAGAAAATACCAGAAACAGGTTCACAATAATTATGTAACATGCCTTCCCTAGAGTTAAAACAATATAGTCAATAATAAATACAAACTAATCTAAATCAAATTATTCCAAACTTCATTAGTTTCTGGGTTTACCAGTTCTAGTGGGTGAATTCAAAATTCCATTTGGTACCATCCTCAGACTAGACAACGTAACTTCTGGGATTTTTGTCTTCATTAACAACTTTACCAGGGACCCACTTCCTTACAGACTGTTGAATCATTACTGGTCCTTTAGATAATAGAGCGAGTGGTTTTTTGTTTGCATTGTAGTAGTGCTGATCTGGTTCTTGATTTGCATGTAACATTTAAATATGTTGTTCAGTATTAAAATTTGGTTTTAATTTGTTCCTTGAGCAAAGTAAGTCGGTTCTAAACTTTCTTCCCATTAACATTTTAGATGGTGATTTAAAAAACTGTTCGGGTATACCTACTTTTATATTCCATAACAATAATATAAGGATGTTTTTCTGGGCATGATTTAACCATAATACCTTTTATAGTTTCAATATGCCTCTTAATTAATCCATTAGACTGACTGTATTTTCGAAATTTGAAGCATAATTTCTCAAACCCTATAGCATCAAATAAGTTGGTTTTTAGAGAAATTTAATTATTTAATCTCCTTTCAGAAAACCTGTAAAACAAGTTGATTCTTTGAAAATTAAAGAAACTGTGAGCAAATTTATCAGACCATGACAAGACAAAAAAAATTCGATGGTGAATTTTTGTTTGCCATTTTTTTCTGCAGAAGAACAGTTTTTTGAAAATAACCGGGACTTGTTTTCAAATAACTCTGACTTGTTATTTTCGATTGGAGAAGTCAAAATTTGGAAAAAGTGAAAAATGGAAAATGTTGATTTTTTTAGCATTTTGAATTTTTTATTCATTATCCTCAATTATTGGCAATATCTCAATAGGCTTGAGATATATCGAGTCTGAGATTGTAACTCTCGTCGAGTACTTCACTTCAATACCTTATTTAGTTAACATCTCTTATGGTTCATAAATTTTTTGAAGTTTAACTTTGAAGCCTAATTGCTCAAAGCCTAATAATATCTACTAAATTTATTTCTACAAATTTAATAAAGAAATTATTTAGGTCTCTTCCATATAATACAAGATGAAATGGTCAGTTCGTCCTTTGGAATGAAATCCATTTTATAACCGGCCACTAAGTTTTAAAAGAAAAATCGCAATTGAAAAACCTCCAAATATCAGATAACGTATTTTCAATTTCGAGTCTCCAGATAGCTCAAGTACAAAGCAAAGATATTATCGAGAAATACGAGAATTTTACAGCCCTTCTCATAGTTGAACCCAACATTGAGATCCTAAAGCTGTTAAAAACAAGTTAATTACAACTCGCGCAACGAAAGCCGAAATATGCAAATTCGTTAGCCCAAAGGTTAATCTGGCTAAAGAAAATTAGTTTCCCTTTGCATTTGTTAATAGGTTTTGTTGTTATGCTTAATTGTTCGTTAAGTAAAACGCAGCTTTACTCACTAAAATTTCTCAATGTTTCAGATGCATGTCCGGAAAGTTGCAGTAATATTCATTTATCTGGTCGCCGCAATTGTCTCACTCGTGTTCGCTGACAAAGAATCGAATAAAAGGATGCCACCAAGTAAGAATTTTTAGTGTATAAATAACTGTGCTGTTTCTGATTTATACCCGTTCAGTTCATGATACACATTTTATGTTTTTCATAAAAATTATTTTTTTTTTTTGCAATTTTAGGCAACGCACACGCTTTTCAACAAATGGTGAGATACGGTCGAGCTAGCAGTAAAGATAAAATAAACGTTTATCCACGAGCTGACGTATTTTATCTTGGACCAAGGTAATTACTCAACAATTTATTTAAGAAAATAGTTGATTTTCAATTCCAGATATGGAAAAAGATCAAGAACAACTCCGCCTCAAAGAGACAGCCTGGAAATGTCCAACGAAATCAACGACAGAACCATTCCATGTACATACACCGGCGTTTCCAATCTGTATAGATGCAATACATACAAGTAAGTTGATATAATTTTCCAGACACTTAATCAAGTTACAGTTTTAAATGGCATAACTTGGAACAAGATGCAAAAGCTTTTGTAATTAGTTTGCGACATTCTTGTTTTTAATCTAAGTTTAAAAGGGCGTCTGTTAATTAGTTGTTTTATTAGGTGCTTGCTAAACGTTACTTGATATTCTTTTTAATTTTGTTTTGTATTTAAAATTTTGATTAAATTTATATGAAGTAAAAATATCAATCAAGGCAACACTGTAGCTGAATAATTACAGCATTCCATAATCGTTCAACGTTGTCGACAAACTAAAAAGCTCAAAACTTCTTTAAAACTTACCAAAACTGATATTGAGTGAATGTTTTTGCAGCCTTTAGTTTCAATCTAAAATATACAAAAAACATAAAATATTTCTTTTTTTCAGGCGTTCAACTATTAAAGAACATAGAATATAAATTCCAGAACAGATCAGCTTCCTCTTAAACTAATAAATTACAAATTAGCATTATTCGAACTCGACGATTGAGGTCCACAGAGGCTGGAGTTGACCTCAATGTTGTCGTTCCTGAAGTCCTATCTTGACGTTTTTAATATATTCACTTAAATTAGGTCCTAAATAATATGTATGTTGAAAATAATATATTATAAAGTTTGAAGTAGATAACTTGTGATGTTTCATTTTGCCAATTAACAAAATATTCAGAAAGATGATCATTTTGTTGAATATTTGGATTTTTTTTTTTAAAGCAAAGCATCATGACATTACAATCCAGAGGTCTAACTGGGATATTTTCCCAAAATATTCGAATTCATCAATGGGTAACAGGTCAGTGCTTTGAGAAGCTGTCAGGAGCCAAAAAATTGAATAATTACTCCAGATCTAAATTCAAAAAACTAAAGTTGATGATGGTCGGCCAGAGACAAGACGTTGTATTTCAAAATCGGTAGCACCTTCGTGTAAAGGAGAGGGTTGCTTGAATTTAAATTTAAAAAATTTTAAGGTCGAAAAAAGCAAACACGACAAAATTCCTTCTACAAACAGTGGCACCACTTTCCTTGCAAAACGCATGGTAAAAATGGAATCGGAATGATTGATTATTGATTTTTCAAGAAGTGCCGTAACAGGGCAGTACGTTATGAGAGATAGAGGGCAAAGCATTGCGCGTCGTGTTCGTTTTTTTGCCTCTGTCTTGTATTCAAATAGTTTCTTTCGTTTCTTTACCCCCTAAAAAACTAGTACCTAATTCGAAATAAATCACGTTAAAGTTTAGTTTAAATTCCCTCTTTTCTTTACCTTAAAATCACAGTCCACTGACGCATTTATTCGTGGTCTTTTAAGCAAAGCTTGAAGTTCAGAAAATGATTTTGAAGAAACGGGAAAGCGGTGTTGTTGGTCAGTTGGTGAAACTTTTGAAATATCTTTTCAAACAAACCAAGGAAAAAATACAATTTTTTTTGCCAAATTTCTTTTTTCCCAGATATTGTCGTATCTAGGATAATAGGGCTTTTCCCTTCGGTTAATTAAACCTAATAGTCTTCCAAGGGAGGTTCATGGGCTTCAGGAAAATCATTGATCGCGTTACATTTAAATAACATTCCATTGCAAGTTGAACGAATTATTGAATTAATAATTCGTACGTACAAGGAACTTAAACCCATGGAAGGTCAATGTCAACGACAGTTCACTGGTAGTTATTGTAATTAGCAATCACGCACCATGGTCGCTTGATTAATATAAAATATGGAATGGGTTTTGGAAGATGATAAAGAGTCTACAGACCGAGAATGATCCGCGTTAGTAAGTCAGTAATAATCAGAGCTGTCGCAATTACTCTTCTCAAGTAATTGAATTACAATTACTAATTACTCTGGCATAAAAAAATTAATTACAATTACCAATTACTTATACAGGGTGTATATTTTAAGTGATACCACTATTACTATATCCGAAACGGTAAAAGCTACAAGGTCGGTCAAATTGGTAAAAAATTTACTTTTTTGATGCCCATTTAAGATTCGTTTACAGTGTTGCCAAATTCCTTTTAGTTTCTGAAATACAGGTTCATAACTAGGTCCGAATTATGGTAAAATTTTGGTAAAAATCATTGATGATCACTTTTTAGATCAGAAACGTCGACCAATAATACTTAAGAGGTATATCGTTGGAAAGAGAATAGAGGGTGCTTTCTTAAAATGTCATAAAAAATCCAGGTCCGTATTTAAAAAAATGAAGTTGATGATGGTAGCTTAACCACGAAACGTCAGATTCGAAATTTGAAGATGCCCTGTTGTAGAGCGAAAAAAATTATAAAACTTTCAAATTTAAATTGTGTCCCGAAAATAAATAGTTTTCGAAATATTTGATAGAATATTTTTAGGCGTTTTTTAGAAATCACCTTGTATTTCATAAACTAGAAGGAATTTGGCAACACTGTAAACGAGTCTTGAATAAGCATCAAAAAAGGCAACTTTTTTCTAATTTAACCGACTTTGTAGCTTTCACCGTTTCGGATATAGCAATAGTGGTATCACTTAAAATATACACCCTGTAGACTGTTAAAATGTAGTTCAATTACCAACTACCGTTGAAAGTAATTGATTATGTATGCAAATACTTTATTTGAATTACTTATTTATTTGAATTATTCCTTAAGTAATCAAATTACTTTTCAGTAATTGAATTACTCATAAAGTAGTTCAATTATTCAATTTTTCAATTATTTTAATTCAATGGGGTAGTATACAAGTGATTTTTAACTACTGCGTAGTGATATACTCGACGTATCGTACTATTTAGTGTAATCAGTTGCTTTGCAAAAACCGCAATAGCCTGGAATTTTGCTTTTCAAATTTTCTCTTAGCCCCGCCCCTACGTGAAAATAAAAATTCGTGACGTAGTTAGTTTTTCCAATCTGGCAACACATCATGGCTTTGAGAACGCACAATTTGCACTGACATTGACCGTCAACAACTAAACGTCAAATTTACTACAAAAAACAAAAAAAAAGTTGATGTGACAATGTCACATGTCACACGATTCACACGACACCACACGTCGTTGAACTGTTGGAGTCAGCTGTCGTTTCGAGGCATTTAGAGCAGCGTTGTCAGATGGTGAGCGGCTCGAATACTATTGGTCGCCGGTTTGGCGCTAAATTCAAATTACAGTTTGTTTTTCTCTGACTAATTCTATAGACACGATGCTAGAATAGTTATTTACATTACAAGTGCGTTAATGACCATGATTACAATAACGAGTGTGAAGGATTATGAGGACGAGGAGGTCGTAGACCGAGTCGTTCTAATCACACGAGTTTTGTAGTCATGTTTAAACGCACGTGTGATGTACAACGTTTTATCTACAAAGGGAAAAATAAGAATATTTTTCCAATTATTTTCATTCATTAATAATTGTCTACCTTCATTTTACCTTTACAGGTTTACCTTTGACATTTGTCAAATCATCAGAAATAGTTATGTTATAGAATCATAACCTCGTCCATAACACCACTAGTTGTGTTATAAATTCATAACCTAGTCTATAACACCACTAGTTGTGTTATGAGTCTCATGACGTAACTCAAATACTAGAAAAATGGTTATGTAAAAACGTCAATACCAAACGCTAGTTGATAAAATAATTTAGTGTCCCACTATACCATCACCATTTAGCCTATAGAATAATGTCGAGCAGTTTTTTAACTGATTTTCATACATCGTATACTACACCCCAAAGGTGGTATAGAATTTAAAGTTTCAATTATTACTTTTCAGTAGTTCAATTAATAAAAGTAATTCAATTACCTTTACATTAATTGAATTATTTGTAAGTAATTTAATTACTCTAAAAGTAATTGAATTACCTGAAAATTGTTAAAATCAATTACCCATGACAATTATTTCATCTCAGTAATTTAAAAATCAATTACAATTACTATTTTTTTTTCGGTAATTGAATTAAAGTAATTCAATTACGAAAAGTAATTGAAAACAATTTTTCAATTATTTTAATGCAATTACCGACAGCTCTGGTAATAATAGTGCCTTTTAGTCTTGTGATAATTATTAGTGCCCATGCCCATATCTGAAATGTAATTGTGGTAAGCTTTAAGCTTTATTTTAAATACACTTTCCTTTTTTTGAACTTTGCTCAAGTTTTGATTCTCACCCCCTCATAACCCCAGGTCCGACAATATCTCTGGAATTATTCGGAATGTTTCCAATTTTGAAGCGCATTTTGTTATTTCCATCGACTTAGCGAAACAATTATGAGAAGTCAAATTGGCATTATATCAAGAATATGTGTTTTTCTGCGATTGACAAGAAATGTCAGCATTTTTGACCGGTTGACAGGTCGCAAAACTCAATATTCTGGTATTTGAATTATGTTTCAATAGTTGCTAAGGAATCAATGAATAACAATACGGGAATAGTATATTACATACCGAGTAGGGAAGTGTTTCATTACTGTCGAGAGATTTATATAGTCAATCGAGACGCGAAGCGTCGAGATTGACTATTAATCTCGAGACATAAATGAAAACTTTCCTCCGAGGTTTGTATACTATTTTATTTGCAAGCACACCATAAATTATGATTAGTCAATCAACTTTTTTAATATTAAAAAAATAAAACAAACATGCCAAAATGTGTCATTCACTGCTTTGACGTTTTTACCTGACATGCTCTCATTGTTGCCAGCAAAGGTAAATAAATTAGAGTGAGGGAAATCGGTGAGGGAAGTCGAATAGGGAAATCGGTGAGGGAAATCAAAGAGGGAAGTGACACAGGTAAAGTGTCACTTCTAAATTTTTAAAAAGTCAGTAATGACAAGATTACATATATGATTGCAAATAAACACTTTTTCGGCCTAGGCCGGGAAAGTGATTCTCGTACTGCTGAATAATTGGAACTAAAAGACAAACATTTAACAGGATTTAACCGATCGCAGAAAAAATAGTACGTGTATTTCGGTGGAAAAGCACATTCTCGGCCTTCGGTGTTTGCCGGCCTCGGCTACGCCTCGCCCGTCAACTCACACCGTCGGCCGGGAATATCTCACTTTTCCACCTAAATATACACAATATACTATTTTTTTACCGCTAATCAGATTTGGAATGATCTTTCCCGGTCAAGGGACATTTCTCTATTTCTCTTTTTCTTTAGTACAATTTAATTTAATTTAATTTTCTCTTCTCTTCAGTGTCAATTTTTAACTATTCCAGGCTCTTGAATTTCTGTTTTCTTCCAATTTTTTTTTATAAAAGAATAAAGGAACATTTATGAGCCTGGAATAGAGAGGAAAAATTATCAATTTTCTCGAGAATTTTCCCTTAATTTCTCCTCTTTATTTCTCTTTTCTTTAATGTCAATTTTTGATTATTCCAGATAAAATAAGATTCAATTCTTTATCTCAAATACTTTTGAAGATATTGAGACTCAAAGTCAAAACTTTGTCTCAAATTTCACGAAAGATTCAAGCAGGGCTTGTAAAAAAATAAAAACCGTTTTTCCACATTTTGGGCCCAGAAAATTTCAATAATCTGACATTGTCTCATAAAATCGCACATTACTCGGTTATAACTGCACATATTATGATGTATAATTATATATTTTGAATCGGAATTAAATTATCTTTAAGATAGAATAGATTCAATTCTCTACCTTCTGGAGATATTGAGGCTCAAATTCAAAACTATGTTTCAAATTTCACAAAAGATTCAAAGCTGATTTACTCGAAAACGAAGCCCTTGGTTTCGGAGTCTCAAATAACCTTTTTTATAGTCCTTCTAAAGAGTTACAATTGAGCAAAAGATTTATGCCGATAGCTTCACTGGTTTCCAAAATATGGCCCTTTGAAATATTTGAAAATCAATTTCCCATGCATACCCCTTTGGAAAAATTTGCACTTTTAAATTTTTGGATTTTGCAATTTTTGACTTTACCAATCGGAAGAGGAGGTGAAAATTAGTGGAAAAGCATTCACGCAACTTTGTTTTTTGGGTTTTAGGGCTTGTAAAAAAATAAAAACCGTTTTTCCACATTTTGGGCCCAGAAAATTTCAATAATCTGACATTGTCTCACAAAATCGCTCATTACTCGGTTATTATTGCAACAAATATGATGTAAAATTATATATTCTGAATCAGAATTAAATTATCTTTAAGATAGAATAAGATTCAATCCTCTATCTTAAATACTTCTGTAGATATTGAGGCTCAAAGTCAAAACTTGGTCTTAAATTTCACAAAAGATTTAAAGCTGATTTTCTCGAAAATGAAGCCCTTGGCTTTGGAGTCTCAAATAACCTCTTTTTATTGAGATAAAATTCAGTGAAAATTTCAGCTTTCTATGTATAATAGAAAAAAAGTTATGACCTTTCAAAGTTTTCCAAAATTTAAATCATAAGATGTGCTTTATGGGTTTGCAATTGGGTTGCTTATGACCGTGTTTGGGTTGTGCTTCAAGGTAGCTTTTGATAATTATTGTTAAAGGAAATCAGAATATCCAAATTTATAGCCACGGACACAATGTCACAGTGCACAGAAAAGTTCAAATTTTTCGTTTGCAAATCACAACTATCAATGGAACGCATGCTAAGATCTGATGCTAAACAAGAAATGGCTGAGAAGTGGTCATATCGTAACCGTAACATAATAGGTCTGTTCCAACACAGCAGGAAACCGTACAATTTATCGTCATGATTCTGCGCAAACTGTAAAAATTGCACGTAGAAACCGAAATTCGTTCACTGAGTGGTTTCGAAATTGTTCAGGGGACGGGTTTTGACGTGTTGGAACAGACCTTATGTCAGATCTCAACTTGTCTGGAAATGTAATTGTGGCCAAATAAATATGTATTTAGTTAGAGTTCAATAATTTCACTCACCAACTGCAAATGTATTCGAAAACAATGAAAATACCCGGGTATAACAAATGTATTTAAGTAAAAACGCATGTAAGCGGGTATTTTGAAAATTACTCAGTACAATAAAAAGTACCGGGTACCTATTTTCTATATTCTTAAGCAGTCCAAGTAGGTACGAGTACAAGTACGCGATTCAGAAAGTATCTTGGCCTGAGTATCGAGTAACTAAAAATATACTTAGCCCCAGTTGTACAATCTTGGTTCAAATCAGAGTTCAGCTAAACTCGACTGGTACTTGAACTTCCCCATTTAAAATACATTGCTGTCAGCTATTAATCAAATTCTATCAATTTTGACAGCAATGCATTTCAAATGGGGAAGTTCAAGTACCAGTAGAGTTTAGCTGAACTCTGATTTGAACCAAGATTGTACAACTGGGCCTTAGAGTACAAGTGAAGAGTACTCGTACCGTACCCGAGTACCGCACAGCTCTGAAGCCCATCAGGATATCGTCAAAGGCGATTTTTTTTTTCGGGTGGCTCGCCCAAAAACGTTTATTTTTCTTCAATAAAACTAATTTATTCAGTTCAATGGGGGGGAGGGGGGTTCGAACCCCCAAAACCCCCCCTTATATACGTCCTTGTTCCTGCCTAATTTCTTTTCATAAGAGAATAAGAAAGGAAAGATTGAAGAGCCTGGAATAGAAAAAAAATTAACAATTTTTTTCTTAAATTTTTATTTGTTTTCCTTTTATCTTTACTCACATTTTGATTATTACAGGCTCCTGAATTTAATTTTCATAAGAGAATGAAGAACATACAAGAGCCCGGAATAAGAAGGGAAAATAATAATTTTTTCTTAAATTTCTCCTCTTTGCAAGAAGTTACCAGCAAGTTTACCTGAAGATGAATAAGCCGGGCATAAAAAAATAAATAAACTTAAAAAAAAAAGATAAATGAAAAAAATAAAAATTGGAACTGTTGAAATCTGTGGAATAAAATATAGGAATGGGTATAGGAAATGAAAAAAAACTTGACTCTTCAGTGATGCCAATAGGAACCCCACTATTGTCCATACAAGTAACATTAAATTGAGAAGTAGTAAATCCAAAACGATTCATCAATTTTACAGCTATTGAAAAATGCACCAGTTCATATTATTTTTTATCGTTTGCCCATAGTTCTAGCACAAAAGATTTTATGAACATTTAAAATTTCAACATACTCTGCCATCGAGACATTAAAACAGAATTCTTTTACTCATATTTAAATACGGTCTATTGTTCCCTTCATTATTGCATTTTTAGCTGACCACGATTTTAAAAAAAAATCTATTATTTCAGTACATTGCAAAATCTAGTCTAATTGCTGAATTAAGCTCTTGTTATAAATTGCTCAGTTCTGCAAAAAAATAGGAGCATGCACATTATTTTTTAATAAAACATCCTTTTTTTAACCATATAAAACATGATTTATTGCAAATAAAGTGGAACTAAGAAGGGAAACTTTTCATAGCAATCAAAGCCCAACATCGTGGCGAGATACAGTCATTTGTTATTTTTCTATTATAACAACGAATTCCTTTCTCCTTTAGAAACTCGACTCTATCGAGTAAAACGACATTTTCACATATGCCCTGAATGGCCGCCTGAAGCCCCATTAAAACTTCGACCTGCCAGCATTCATTTTTGTGTTCGGTCCATTTTTCATACATTTTCCTACGAAAGGTTTCGTCGGTAACTTTAATTCGTTTATTTGGATCCCGTCCCACAAGCTGATGCGTTGTTTCCAAATTATTCAAATAGTCTTGGAAACCGACGTCGATGTCTAGCGCGTTTGATTTCCCCGATTTTCGTTTAAGTCTTCGTAACGTACAGTTTTCTGAAATAAATTCAATTTAGTTTCACATCTTGAAATATTGAATACAAAATGTGAGAATCTTTAAGAAACTAGAAGTACCTACTATATGGTTTGATTTCCAGCAAAATAGAGAAATACGTGGAGTTTCTGAGCTAATAACAAAGCATCATATTTTTTTATTATCTGTTTAAATTTGATTTTTTCTTTTCATGAAAAAAAAAAACACTTATTTTCCCCCATATTACATGCACATCTTTTAAAGGGCCATCTTTAGAAAACGAAAATGGGATTTTTCAACGAATTCGGAGCCTATAGATCTAAACCCTATATACAGAATAGCCAATTACCGATTTTATTCGGAAGTTGTTTGTTAATCTTTCATGTTAAAATAAAATCATAGAAAAACTGAGAAATTTTATCCAACATTGCCTCAATCTATGCAAAATTTATTGACCTCATAGTGTTTACCCAGACATCATAATGATGATAATCCCAAACTCCCTTATCGATATTCTAGTGTATATTATACACAGATCGGACAGACTGACACACAGTCAGAAGTGGAGAACTGTGCATCTACCTCAACCAAAATAACTATTCACAACAACCGAACTACCTTTTGATTGTGGGAACATTGACATATTGGCATTGAACATAACATCTATAGGAATTTCTCATTCGTTATAGTGTGTGTAGAGACCAAATTATCGATGATCTAAAACTCTTCACAAATACCATAACAAGCCTTGCGGCCAACCACCAAAATCCTATTATAGTTGGCGACTTTAATTATTGAGAATTCCGTTGGATTATTTATTGAAACATGCAAAGTCCTTTGAACTTTTGGATGCATGGGGTCAATAACCAATAGGTTACAAATATAATTTTCTTTTTCAAATTAAGCTACCATGTTTTATCCATTTCAACAGAGATGAATGGAAAACTGATTTTGATGGTCCATCAGATTCACAAGCAAAATGTTATTATTGTAATAAAAAAATGATTTTATCCAATTATGCATGAATATTTTAAATAAAGCCAAGTCGTTTGAAAAATTATTTCGTTTTCTTTGCAAACTTCAAAACCAAATAACCTTCAAAACATCATGAGAATCTAAAATGCACTGACCACAAAATAACTATCTCATAACCAATCGACAAGGTTATATACCTATATGATCGTAAAATAATCACTTAGCCACAACATCAGAGGAAAAAGCCAATATGCTTGCCCAAATGTTTTCCTCCAACTCCAACCTAACAGTGCCAAACAGAAAAACTCCACCGTTCATTGAAAGGGTTTCCCATAGTATGCCAGAGGTACCCTTTTGTCACAGAGAAATACGAAAATCCCTAAAAAAGCTGGATACAAACAAAGCAATGGGTCCGGATGGCATTCCCGCAATAGTACTCAAAAATTGCGCCAACGAACTCACCCCAACTTTCGCAAAATTATTCAATTTGTCTTACAGGCAAGGAGTATATCCATCATCATGGAAGTCTGCCGCAGTACAACCCATTCCAAAGAAAGGAAAAAAGACAGATCCGTTAAACTATAGACCAATTGCTCTACTTCCGGTGATATCAAAAGTAATGGAAAGAGTTGTGAACAATCACCTAACCAAGTACTTGGAAAAGTACAAAATTATCAACGATAAGCAATACGGATTTCGAAAATATAGGTCAACTGGCGATTTACTTACATACGTCACTCACTTATGGCAAAAAGCGATTGAGTTGCGGGGTGAAACAAGAACAATTGCCTTAGATATATCTAAAGCATTCGACAAAGTTTGGCATGAAAATCTGCTCAACAAGCTCAAAGCAATGGGATTATCGCCGAAACTTTGCACTTGGTTTGAAAGTTACCTAAAGGACAGATCCATTTATGTTGCACTGGATGGCCAGAACTCCAACTCTTACCAAATAAATGCTGGTGTGCCACAGGGAGCAATCCTTTTGCCAACTCTTTTCCTGATTTACATAAATGACCTCATAGATAAAACAGTAAATCCACTTTATTGCTTTCCAGACGATGGCAATGTAGTCTCCTCACTCATACCACCCACAGGTCTTTCCGCACGTGAATTCCATCATCTTAGACTAACTCAAATATCGCAGATAAATAACGACCTGGAGATAATAGAGGACTGGGGTAACAAAAACCTTGTACAGTTCAACGCGCAGAAAACCCAAGCAGCTCTGTTTTCAAAAAAGACCAGCACCGGTGAGCCAAACATCATGCTATCTGGAAGTGCTGTCACATTACAGAGTCAGTTGAACATCTTGGGGGTTACTGCAGAGACCAACATGTCTTGGCACAGTCACGTGGCAGATATTGCTAAAAGGGCCTCCCAAAAGCTGGGGGTGCTATTTCGTACAAGACATCTGTACACACCAAGCCAATTGCTGACACTCTACAAAGCCCAGATTCGACCAACTATGGAGTACTGCTCACATATATGGAGTGCAGCACCCAAACATACCTTAATGCTTTTGAATACCGTGCAAAAACGAGCTATCAAGCTGATCAATGACCCCGCACTTACTCGTAACTTGGATGGTCTCGAACATCGCAGATCTGTGGGCGATTTATCTCTCTTCTACAGGTACTATCACGGAAAATGCTCTGAAGAGTTGGCACGTATGATTCCACCGAGAGTAGCACCTACCAGGCGAACCCGTCAAACAGACGGTAACCATGAATTTACTGTCAAACTAGAGGCACCAAAGAACCTCATTATATCAGAATTCATATCTCTGGAGAACAGCATCGCTGTGGAATAAACTCCCTGCGACGGTTTTCCCTGCAGGTTACAACCTGAACCGTTTCAAGACCAACATACACCGACATTTCCGCACACTTGCCGCTTCTCGAGCGTGATAGGACATTTCCTTGCGAGTGCGCATATCCGTAAAAAAAAAAAAAACATTTTTTACAGACAGAAAACCACTTATCTATATTGAGCATTTTTTCAAAGTAGTTAAAACATGTAAAAAATGCGAATGAAAATAGATAGCATGCAGAGTTTAAATTTTCAAAACCAGATCTAGTTTTCATGAAAATCATGATGGGAATCTAGAGTGCCGAAGATCACAAAACACAATTCTTGAGTCGATTTCAAAAAATGTTGCATTATCACAGATTTTAATGAAGTTGCTTGTTTTTGTAACTCACTGGCAACTTTTCCCATGCATCCAAAAGTTCAAACAATGCGCTGTCATCAGATCAACTAAATTAGTCGAGCATAGCAGACATAATAAACATATAAATATATTCAAACAAAAAAACCCTACCATAGACGATTATTGAGAAAAGGACTTTGTGGTAGATAACAATAACCCAGAAACAGATGTTGTATCAAACCCATAATCCGTTGTCCCCCGCGAAAAATGAGCAGAAGAACAAAAAAAAAATTTAGGCAACAGGAAAGGAAAAAGATTTTCAAAATTTCAATTTGTATTTTTTTTTAAAAAAAAATGATAACTTGATTTATTGTGTTTCAATGAAAAATCAAACCATATTTTAGAAGATGTATCAATAAATTAGCAAGGTTTTTCACCACTTGCTTCCACTCAAAAATATTGAGAACCGCAAAACTGAAACTTTGGGGATTTGAGCCGGGCCAACTCCAAAATTCACGAATACGAATGCAGGAATTGTTTTAATTTTTTAGTTTTCAAGAAAGTGAAGGGATATGGAAAGAGGTACCTTTTCAGAGTAGGAGCTTTTTAACGTAGTGGAGGTGGGTATTGGTTTGATAGCTGAAGGTACTTGAGCGTGGGAGCTTTTTCGATACCGTGGGAAAATCTCTAGACCCGGGCCAACCGTGGGAACTTTTTCGATACCGTGGGAAAATCTCTAGATCGGTTGCCTTTGATCTGTAATTTTGGGAATTTGACCCGGGCCAACCGAGGGAACTTTTTCGATTCCGTGGGAAAATCTCTAGATCGGCGGCGCCTTTGATCTGAAATTTTGGGAATTTGACCCGGGCAACCCCAAAATTTGCCAATCTGGTGGAACATTTACGTAGTAGAGGTGGGTATTGGTATGATAGCCGGGGGCACTTGAGCCAAAAAAGTGATCAGAGTAGGAGCTTCACGGAAGGGGGTTTACAGTGGAGGTGGGTAGTGGTATGATGGCTGTGCTGGAGGGGGGTTTTACGTTACGTGGTAAAGGTGGTTATGTGGTCTGATAGCTGTGAAAACATTCTACTTGTTTCATATGGCAAAAACAGGTCTGACGTCAGGCCACCATTGGCGTTCTAATGTAGTGAACCACCAGCTCACATTCCTTTGGAGTATCAGATTAAAATCGACAGAGTCGACAGACAATAAATAACTATTATCTACAAGCATTTGGTAATGACATTTTTACATAACCATTTTTCTAGTACCTATTTGAGTTATGTCAGGAGACTCATAACACAACTGATAGTGATGTTAGGTGGATGTATAACACAACCATGAAATTTCGAATTTTTTTTTGTCGAGATTTTGTTTCCTAATGGTCCTTTGAGACTTCCTCAACTCCATAAACTAAATTATTCTCAGATTTAAAGCCAAAATCTATGAGAAAAGGCAATCAGAAAAATTGAAAAATTTATAAATCACCCCTAATTGCTTAACACGATTTTATTTCTGAAACTATAAGTCCAAATGAGTTGAAATTTTCAGATATTGTAGTCCTCTACTGGGATAAGAATCGATGAAAATTTCAGCTATCTATCTCTTATAGAAAAAAAGTTACGACCTTTCAAAGTTTTCCAAAATCTGAATCATAAGGTGCTACCTTCTTACTAAAACGATGAAATTTCAATTTTTTTTTTGTTGAGATTTTGTGTCCTAATGGTCCTTTGGGACCTCCTCAACTCCATACACTAAATTATTCTCAGATTTGAAGCCGAAATCTATGAAAAAAGGCACTCAGAAAAATTGAAAAATCGATAAATCACCCCAAATTGCTTAACACGATTTTATTTCTGAAATTATAAGTCCAAATGAGTTGAATTTTCAGGGATTGTAGTCCTCTACTGGGATAAGAATCGCTGAAAATTTCAGCTTTCTATCTTTAATAGAAAGTTATGACCTGTCAAAATTTCCCAAAATCTACATCATAAGGTCTTACTAAAACGATGAAATTTCAATTTTTTTTTTGTTGAGATTTTGTGTCTTTATGGTCCTTTGGGACCCCCTCAACTCAATACACTAAATTATTCTCAGATTTAAAGCCGCGAAATTTATGGAAAAAGGCACTCAGAAAAATTGAAAAATTGATAAATCACCCCAAATTGCTTAGCTCGACTCTATTTCTGAAACTATAGGTCCAAATGAGCTGAAATTTTCAGGGATTGTACCTATCTAATTTTTTCACATTTTTAACCCCTAAGCCCGTACCGATTTTGAAACCAATAAGTCACAAAGTTGAGAGGGACGGTAGTAATCATCTGTCAAAAGATGAATGTGGAACCCTATCCAAAATCTTGAGAAAGAAAATAAAAACCCAAGAAGGTGATGAGTCAAGGTTTCAACTTCGAGGATCAACATCCCGAAAACTATTTGAGATAAAGCATTCAATTTTGTTTTACCTAAAAATGCAAAAGTTTGTTACATCAATGTGATATAGACTTTACATCTATTTGGGCATGACATTATGTGTTACATTTGAGTTAAATTTTACCTCAATGTGACTTGTTAAAAATTTAGGAATTATACCTATAATTAGCCCCCTAACTATAATATATAAATGTATTTACTGGATTAATTAATTATCAAGTCTCCTCTCTTGACACCAAAAGATTCACTAACAACAACTCTTGGAAGCTTCCTTTATAAATATTTACAAATATCTCAAACCATATTTACACTCCCAATGAAAAGCATCGTTTTTCCGATAGTCACGTGCAAACAACACAAATATAAAACAAGGCTTATTTGGTCTGGCATTGGCGTCGAAGGAAGAAATTCAATTTGCGGCAACGTGCTCAATACCAAAATCGCCACGGTAATATGATCAAGTCAAAAATGTCTAGAAGTACCCCAGTAAAGCGATATAGCGCGTTAAGGGCACCCTATTTTTATATTCTTTTCAAAGGAATTACTATTGACAAGCGTGAAGAAAATAAAAAGTTTTATTTTAGTTTTTTAGCTTTTAGTAGGTATACAAACATATACTATCCGTTTGCCAATTTCATCTTTCAATAACTAATAATTCAATAATCTGCTTTGCAGCTTTTTGATACATAATCTGGTTCTTAAATTCCGAACAATATTTCCTAATGAGCAGTTTAATACCCTTATTTCTAAGGCCAATTTATATACTTTTTTGTATTGACCCAATGAATCTTTTTTGATTTGATTATAGAAACCTAAAAGCTTCAATTCGTACATCCATTATACATATCAAATTTCCCAGCATTTTATGCGAAGGGGCTGAATTTTCACACATATATTATGTTCAACAAAGATTTTTCCGATTCTCTTAGATTACGTCCACAAACTGTTTGAAAAGTGGAAATCACCCCTTACGTTGCAGGTAAGTATTTTTTCCCCCTATCATAATTTTATTTTTTATTTATTCCTAGGAATATTTGTTTAATCTGCACTGTAAAGACCTGGAATAAGGAGGCAAATATTTGAATATAAAAGTAATTTTAGGTACAAGTAAATAAGACACAGATTAGAAAATGTTATTCAAACCTTTTTTTGTAAAGCAGCCGATATTGAGCCAAATTTGAACTATCATAGGCTCTTGATACTCTATAAAGAAAATATAAAGGAAATAAAGACTATCACAGGCTCTTAATTAATTCTAGAGAAGTTATTTAAGAAATTGAGACTCGATAGCCAGTAATAATCAAACTTTGAACTATTACCGGATCTTGGTTGTCTTAAGAAAGATTATTCAATAACTCAAGAGCCGTTAATCAAAATTTGAACTATCTTGGGAACTAGATATCTACCTACCCTCTAAAGAAAGTATAAAGAAAATCAAGACTCAAAGGGATTAGGTTGCTTCTATGAAACATAGACGTAGATATTCTGAGATTGTATATAATAATTATCATTATTACCTACCCATTTCTGCAACCAATTGCAATACAGCCCTATGCATACATTGCTGTGCATGTTTTTCGTGTTCTTCCTTCGACATCCTAATAAAAGTTCCACTAGTTTGTTGACAAGCCAGCCTCAAAAACGCTTCTCCAGTAAATCCATAAGCCTGATATTTATCAAACAATTTTTTCCCTAAAGAACTTGCAGGGAAGTTTTTAAAATCGGTATTCATTCTATGGTAGCAACATGGCATGATCACTAGAGCACTTGCTTTGGAAATTCGACTGAAAAGCTTCAGGACTTCAACGCTTAAATCCGCACAAGCATGAAGACCTGTTAGGCATATTTTTTTGTCCGGGCCAAAATTTTCTTCAACTAATTCTTCAATACAACCCGCTGATGATTTATTTACAAATACTTCTTTAAATATAACGTGCCCTTTTGAAGCGGGTTTCAGTTTTGTTTGGTTTTCTAAGGCTGTTTGTATTAATTTATTTGATACTTCTAATGCTAGAACTGGATAGTGGTATTTTTCAAACAACATATGGGGTAAATGGCCCTGAAACAAGGTGTGTAAAATCGTTTGAAATAGTGAGTAAACTTACTCACGAAACCTGATCCAATATCGACAATTAAATCACATTTGGTCTCTTGGCAAATTTCGTTAATAACAGGTGCAAGAAGTGTTATTTCGTGAACTTTCTTTTGAGTTAAGCCAGTGCATTTATATGAAACACTTTCGACACTTTCCACTGTCTCACAAGTTTGTTTACAGTTTAATTCATTAATTTCGTCTATCAAATATTTAAAATCTAGAGGAGCAGAGTCCTAAAAAAGCAAGACAAATTTTGCTAAATCAGGTTTCAACAAATATACTGACCTCTAGATTTCCTTTAACTAAACCATGTAAATTGTCTACATTAATACCATTAAAGTACTCAGCCCAATCTTTTGGTAAATTGGCAAGAACATCTTTTGTTAACACATCAGTGTTTCTAAAATTAAATATCCATTGATATTTTTTTAGAAACACTAAAGCCCTTTCCAAGTAACACACGTCTAGATTTGACATGCTGAAAAAAAATGGGCAAACATACAATACTATCTCAATCTGGCCACTATTTAAATTTAAAAAAAAAAACATATATGAAAAAAAAAAACAAATTTATTATAAACATTTGGCAAACAACACTAAAATCTATGCAATATCAACTAAAGTCCAGATTTCATTCTTCCTCGAAGTGGAATTGAAGGCTTCATTTTTAGGTCCCAAAACCACTTTTCCCGATTTCAAATTACTTTGATCTCCCAAATATTCTTCCATAACATCTTCAATATTTTTCTTGCTAACTGCCATTAAATCAGATCTGTGTCTTTGTAATACTTCTGAACTTAATTTTCTCAGGAAATCGTCACAGCCCTTCGAACTTGGCGGTACAGGAGCATCGACTTCCTGAAAAACGCCTAATTTGGCTTCCAGTAAGTCTTGATCTTTGACGTCTTTCAAGTTAGTTTTGAGCCAATCATATGAATTATCAAAAACGTCCAATGTTTCGACATTAAATGGATCTCTGTAGCTGTAAAATGAGAATACTCCGTCAGCTGCTAATCTGGCTCCAGCTCCATAGGCTCCGTGTTTTTCTCTCAGTTCCGGATGCAAATACTTAGCGGAAAGTAATTTTGCTAGAACCTTTAAGGAAGCGTACTCAGGTTTTGTATAGGGAGCAGTCAAAACAGCCTTGCTACAATAATTCACTGGAATATTTAAAATGTGATGTTGGCAATTCACTGAATCCGAAGGAGACCATATTTGGCCCACAACATAGGAATTTTCACTTTTTTGTTGACCAACAATTTGAAGTTCATTTCCTGGTAGTTTGGTAATGAAATTTTCATAACCATGTAAGATTTGGTTTTGATTTTCTGCAGATATATTAAGTGCAACCCTAAAAATAAAATCACTAGTAAAACATTTAAATCAGTGTACAAACAAACCTCATTTTCCTTCTATCAAACAGCAATCTTCCAATTTCCAAAATTTCATCTAGCATAGCTTTATAATTGGAAGTGTGAAGCAACCGTTTCATATAAGATATGTGCTGTAATCCAGACAACAATTCTACTTGATATGCGGATCCAGACACTAGACTTGCGGCTGTTTGCATGGCGTAAATATGGCCAGAATCGGTAATGCCATGGGTTAGATTAGCCATGTAGAGTTGAGCGAGCATTCTAAATCTAAAGCAAAAATTTTGGGTTAAATGGATAAATTATCAAGGAATAAAACAACAAAAGTGTGTCATTTGAAGTTCGATTTTTACAATACTGAAGGAAACTTGTCCTTTATTCTAGGTAATCTTTTCACCCATGCACTTATTATTTTGAATATTACAAGATGTGCAACTTTTCTGAGAGGCATCTTCTGACAATTATTGGTACCCAATACAAAACTGTCAACAGAAAAAAAAAAACATTTTGTCTAGGGCCTTTAAGAAGCAGTATCAAATTCTCAAACATCAGCAAGTTTAAATAACCTTTGTTGTTTTATTTTAATCACAAACAATATTTTACCTATCAATATCCTGTAATTTAGTCATATTGAACAATTGCTGCCACAAATCCCACATACTCTCAGCATTCTTCTCCAAACAGTAACTGGACAAAAATATTCCCGGTTCATATGTATGAAGATGATACAAGCTGTCAGCAATGTGTACATTGAAATTCAATCCGGCAGTTTTTCTGCTGACAAGATTGTCGAATTCTTTATAGTCCAACTTGTCGGTGCCCATTTTATTAATAATATAGCAAAACAGCGGTAGTAACATGTGTTGTTCTTGTGATAGGTCGCTGGTATTCAGAACCGACTTGAAATAAATTAAACCGTTTGAATTCACTTTGTTTATTTGAGTGGGTACATTGTTTATGCAAACAGTAACTTTGTTGATTTTTTCAATGTCAGAGTTTATGTCGTCCATTTGTAATGTCGGTAGCAGATTTGAGTTTTGTGTAGCTTCTTGGAGTTTTTGAAGCTCCAAGCACTTTTCGAAAATTACTTTCTTATCTTTATCGCCCAAATTTTTAGTTTTCTTCTTAATCAAATCAATTTCTGCTTTTTCCAACTTAACCTCATACTCTTTATCGGGCGACATGGTTAAAACCAACTTATGATTATTCTCTTTAAAATAAGTTTTGATTGTCTCTTGCAAATACTTGGGATTATTTTTCAGTTCCGACCTCAACTTTTCAATAACAGCATTCACTTCCAATGCTGTTAAAACTTCATTAGAATGATTCCACAGAGCAGTTACGCCAAATAACAAATTCAAACCGAAATTCTTACTTTCGTGTTTTAACATCAACTCATAACTATGCAACACAGATTCAATATGGTCATTTGTGAAACCTTTTTCGATAACCTCGTCAATAGTTTTATTGAAAATGCCTTCTATTTTACTAAAGTCTTCAGTTGTAATGCCTTTTAGACTTATAGTGAAAACAGTATCACGTGATTGAGTATCCAAACCAGTGGAAGGTGTAAATCCACTAGAAAAATTAGGTTCAATAAGAGTCTTATAAAAAGCAGCATTGGGTCCTTTTATAAGCAATTGAGTAATGAATTGCATTAAAAACGTTTCATAAACATCTGTACAATCAGAGAGTAATAGAGAAATGCCAATGGTGTTTTGTTTTTCAAACTTTTCTGCCATCGCATCGAATCTGGAAGTTATATGTTCACGTTTTGGTTCTGACCAACGTTTTTGCTTAGGGACAACTGTATTGATTGGATGTGAATAGGCGTAATTTTTAAAATATGTTTCGTTAATATACTCTAATGATGGTAATAATGGAAAATTACCATATGACAAGCATCTACAATTACTTGGATTGTAATGCCCTCTGTGAAATTCTTTTAGGCCTTCCCAAGTCAAATTGGGAATTACTGACGGCTCACCACCTGACACTACCCCATAAGTATGATCTGGTAAAATCATATTTTGCAGTTTTTGGCCAAATATATTTTCATTTTCGGAAAATACTCCTTTCATTTCATTGTAAACTACTCCCTTGATGACTAAATCAGATTTTGGATCGCTTACTGTCTTATTTTCCAATCTCCATCCCTCTTGCATAAAATCTGATTCGCTTAGTACAGGATTAAAAACGGCATCTAAATAGATTCTTTGTAAATTTTTATAGTCTGAATAATTCTGAGTGCTAAAAGGGTAGATTGTGTAATCCGATCCTGTCATGGCGTTCATAAAAGTGGCCAAGGACCTGTTTAGCATTTTAAAAAACGGATCTCTCACTGGAAATAATTTTGAACCGCACAGTACTGTATGTTCGAGAATATGTGGCGCACCGGTACTATCGGTGGGAGTCGTTCTAAAGTTAATAGAAAATAAATTATTGCTATCGTCACGATATAAATGCAAATATTCGGATTTGGTTTTTTCGTGTTCCAAATATATGGCACGGATTCGGAATTCTGGAATATCTTTGACATTTTTCACTATAAACCCGTGGATTTTTTCATTTGGAACTAAACCGCTGATGTCTGCTCGAGTTTCTGAAACTTTTGTTTCAACTTGGCTCATTCGTCTGGAGGCATTTTGAACAAAGGGGCGCAACTTATTAAGGGCTAGTTTGCTTCGCCACATGATGAGAACCTGAAATAGAAATTTGGGGGTAAATAAATAAATTAGAGTGTAATAGACAATAGTCTTTATGGGTGACATCAGTCAGCTGCAGTCCATAGAAAAATGTTTTGATTTGTGAACTGTTCTATACTTGTTTATTTGCAATGTATTAGAGTAGAAAAATTATTACACGTGTTTGAACAAACATAAACAAACACACTCGCTCTGAGACTCACTTTATGATTTAATTAATTTTTAAAAATATCCTTTTCAACGAACAAATTATACAATACATATCTGAGAGTCTGGACAGCAAATGCCAAGTTGATGTGATATACACAATGTTCTCTTAAGAAAACTCCATGCAGAATTTTGATTCAGTGGGTGGTTGTTGAAGGACTTCTCAAATACTTTTGTAGCGACTTCAGGTATCCCGCAGGGATCAAACCTTGAACCGTTACTGTTTTTGCTGTTCATTGATAGTATAGTGAAGGAAATAACAAATTGCAAAATCTTAATGTTTGCTGATGGATTGAAGTTATATTTGAAAATTGAACATCATCAAGATTGCCAAATACTACAGGAAAATTCGAATAAGCCTCATCAATGGTCAGATGCGAATAATCTATATTTTAATATCACCAAATGTTATGTTGTTCACTTTACTAGGAAAAGAAATACATTAAAATTTCAGTATAAGATTAACAAGACGGTGTTGCAAGAGGTTGATGAAATGCTGGATCTTTGAATCCGAGTTTGAATCCCAATTAAGCTTTAAGCTACATGTCTCTTATTATATGTATAGTAAATGAGGCTCTTAGAATATAGGGATTTGTAGTACAAAAAGCTGTAGGATGTTTCGAAACACAGACTGTATAAAAAGATTATGTTACATATGTTACAAGTATTTTAGAGTACCTACTGTTCAGTGGTATGGAATCCATATTATAAAAACTATAAATATGACATAGAAACAAATTTTTAAAATACATACACACACACAGAAAGTGGTGAGTATAGATTGCATATACCCAGAATAGACATAAAGAAAACTTACAACCTAAAATCTTTGGATAATAGGAGAAAAAATTGCTTCCATTATGTTTCTGTATGACCTAGTTAATAATTTAATTGCGGATCCTGATCTGATCGTGTATCTAAACTTTCATGTACCATGATGTACCAAACTCAAACATTTGTCGATTGAGTATTAAGAGCTATTGGAATGTCCCTGAGAAAGACACAAGAGAAAAAGTCGGGAATCCAAGGCAATAAGAACTTGAGAAGGGAAACTGGAATAAATACTAGGCAGGGCGAGAAGCAGAGACCATAGCACGTCTGAAGCAGAGACCATAGCACGTCTGAATCATAATCAGAAAAAGTTTTGTCGAGTGAAACTGAAGATGTCTCTGATCCATATGAACATCCTAGTGAAATCAAAGAAATATCCATTACATATTTTACATCCATAATATGTAGACATATTATGCAGCGTAGACACGCAATATATCTGAAAGCCATTGGCAATCAGTCGCAATTCTTGGTATGGGAATACATGAGATTCATTGATCAGTGATTGCCAAATATGGAAATCATTGTACATTTGTAAGCATAGTGGTTGACCCCTCGGTGCAAACCCAATGATCTGTAAACTGTATGATCAATTGAGACGATTGTGATATTTCTAACAGAGCCAGGATTACAAAAACTTGAGAGACGAGTTAATGAAATTGAGATGTGAGAAATATCAGCTCAAATATCAGTTGTATCACGTTAAAAGTAACAAACTAAACCATGTACCACAAGTATACTAGTTCCTAACACCTACTCTATAATTGGATATATAAATCTGTTGAGTTTGTAAGTAAATAAATAAAAAATTAAACATAATACTTGATAATAATAATCAATATGTAATCTGGTGGATTTTCTTAACCATAAATAAGAAACATTACCTACACAAAGTACCAAATAAAATAAGAGAATAAATAATTACCTGTAGAACTGATTTGAGTACTCAAGGTGACTCAAGATAACGTTATGGTGAAAAAAACAATTAGCCAATGCATTATTTATCAAACGGAATTTTTGTTCACACAAATAATCATTACACAAGTCATCAATTCGTGCCTGAAAACAAAAACATAAAAAAAATGATTCATGCATCAGAGCCATAATGAAATGAAGCATATACTTACTAGAAAAAAGCATCAACCATTTAAAACACACTCTTCTTGTTACATTCACAATAATTTATACACAAACTCACAAACAAAAGCAAGACCTCCAGAAAAATCATTAAAACAGCCAAATTAAAATAAGAATGGTTGTGTTAGGACTGGGTTGTTGAATAACAAATGATCTATTTGTTGATTTTCAATAAAGAGTACAGAATAAAATTCACTGGATTGGAAGTAAAGAATTGTGTGTTGTCCTTGAACCAATGAGAATTGTCCCACAATAATCAAATAGATTCAGTAGCCAATCACAGCACAAAAGTAATGATAACAACAGGTTATTGAATATCACAATCAAGTTATTTCATGTATTGAATTACAATTAAAATACCTTGCAAATATTCTAGATAAAAGTGTACAGTCGTTTTGTTATTACTATTAGGTACAGATTAACATTTTCAGCTTAGCTAAGATTAAATGTGGGATAAGTTGCAGTGCAATAATAACTGGATGCTTTTGAGTTTTGACTATCATGTGATGTACTTACTGTTTTGTTATTACAGATTGTTCTCAGCTTAGCTAAGATGAAATGTGGGATAAGTTCTAGTGCAATAATAGCTAGATTTTTTAGACTCACATCACATGATATACTTACTACCGAGTTTACTATTACTTCTTACAGAAAATTACAATATTTTTGTGCGATTTGAAATTTGATTTCAATTGAACATGCAGTGACTGATGAGATTTCTATAAACTCATATCAATTTCACCCATTGGATTTATCATATAAGAAACTAGCAATTTTGTGGTTTTCAGTTCATAAAAATGAAATAAAATTTCACTCACCCTATAATGGTTTTTCAATTTCAGCAAACCAAATATCACCTTTTTATGTTCTTTCTATAGTTAATTTTTATTTTACCCAAAGATTATGTAGAATTGGGCAATAGGAACACAACAATATATAAAATAGTAAAATAATACAGAATTAACAGAATGCCGAATTTTCGTTGTCAAACTTTTTTTTAGTTAGGTTAGGCTTGGGCAGTCCACCAGCTGCGTATTTTTCGTATCTGCGAGTGACTCCGAGCGAACGAATGACTCCGGAGCAAGAACGCAGCTCTTAGGATAACTGTTAACTGCAATCCGGCCCGCAATTGTTCCTGAGGTCAAGCAGCACCGGTGCAACTTGAAAATTAGTTGTTTTTGACAACTTATTTTTTTTTCTTTTTTTTTCATATTAAACTCTACAGGGCCGGTTTCTCAATAAGTAAGTCAACAAGCGGCAACAGTCATTTGACACTTACTTGTTTGTTGGTTCGAACTATACCAGTGCAGGAACTCCTGTGGCGAGTTCAGAAATAACACACTGAACTCGCCCCTGAAGTGAGGTCCACCTACTCGACGCGAACGGAGTTACTCTATATTCCAAAAACTGATATCCGAAGGGTCCAAGTGCCTCAGGAGTGACAATCCAAACTCCGAACACCTAAAAAAAACCTAACCTCATAAAAATACAGTAAATAAATAAACAGAAAATATTGACAAAACAAAATGCAAAAATACGAAAAATTAGAAAAAATCGGTGAAGGCACGTACGGTACAGTATTCAAAGCGAAAAACCGTGAATCGCACGAAATCGTTGCCCTAAAACGAGTAAGATTAGATGATGACGATGAAGGAGTCCCATCTTCAGCTCTACGAGAAATTTGCCTACTGAAAGAATTGAAACACAAAAACATTGTTCGTCTTTACGACGTTCTTCACAGCGACAAAAAGTTAACTTTGGTATTCGAGCATTGCGATCAAGACTTAAAAAAGTACTTCGATAGCTTAAACGGTGATATTGATTTAGATATAGTCAAATCTTTTATGTTCCAACTGTTGCGTGGATTAGCGTTTTGTCATAGCCACAACGTTTTGCATAGAGACCTAAAACCACAAAACTTGCTAATAAACAAAAACGGTGAGCTCAAGTTAGCTGATTTTGGTTTGGCTAGGGCTTTTGGAATCCCAGTCAAATGTTATTCGGCTGAAGTGGTAACTTTATGGTATCGCCCTCCAGACGTATTGTTTGGAGCTAAATTGTACACCACTTCAATTGATATGTGGTCAGCTGGATGTATATTTGCTGAACTTGCAAATGCAGGCAGGCCACTTTTTCCAGGATCCGATGTTGATGACCAGTTGAGAAGGATTTTCAAATTATTGGGGACTCCCACAGAGGATACTTGGCCTGGCATGACCCAATTGCCTGATTATAAACCATTTCCTACATATCAACCTAGTTCAAGTTTAACACAGGTAATAATTTTATATTTTAATTGGACAACAATAATGAAAATTTATTATTCTAGGTGGTATCAAAACTGGGTAATAGAGGCAGAGATTTGCTGCAAAGGCTTTTAGTATGTAATCCAGTTGGAAGGATTTCAGCTGATGATGCAATGCAACATTCCTACTTTAGTGACTTGAATCCTACAGTTAAGAATGATCGTTGCTAATACTGCCTTAGTATGGTTTCAAAAAAAGAACCTTGCTTTTATAAAGATGATACATGCTTAAGTCAACTGTTGATTAGCAACAGTTCACATAGTAAAGACAATTTAATACTACTTTTCATACTGAATTTAAAAGTATATGTTTAAGGTTTACTCAATGTCTGTGTTGTCTATTTCTAGGATCTAGTCTCAAAAAATTGTGAAAAAGTACATTTAAGAAAATAAATTATAAAATAGATCATTGGCGTATCCAGGATTTTGGTTTAGGGGGGCTGTGCCAACAAAAAGTGCTTATAAAAAAAAACGGCGCAAGCAAAAAAAAATTTGGCGTTACGCCCAATTTTGGTAAAGAATTAACCTGTAACATAGCCAAACGTTACGCGTCTTTTTTTTTCTGGGGCTACAATAGTAATTTTCTGTGCGACCCACTTGGTGGAAATTGAAGCCTGAGGCGCAAATTATTTAAAAAAAAATTAATTGGCATTAAATAAGTGGCATTTTGCAGCTTTGCGGGCTGAAAGGTATCATATTTCGCCCTCAAATCAGGGCACAAATAGATGCTTTGCGACCCTGTCGTACATGAAGATATTTATTTGTATCGGGCCGCAAGTTTGATATGTTTACTTGAACTTATTCGCTTTTTCTCTTCTTCCTCTCCTGGGGAAGGAAGTATGGTGGAAATTTGAGTTAATTATAAGGTGAAGCACTGATTTCCTTGCTGCAGCTGCCACTGTTGTCATGAAAAACCTTATTAGGTATACTATAATGAAAAAAACCTTATTTATATTGTCACAACTACCCGCTTTACGGGGGTGACATGGGGGGTTTGTAGCTTTGGGGGTAGATGGAGAGAAACTCGCTCAGGTTATATAAAAATATATGCTATATATTTTCCCAAATATAACCTTACATGTATGCTAATCCTATAAGGTACATGACCCTTCGTACACTGGGGTCCTTATAGGGGGCCACACGTCAATTCTGCTTGGGGGACTGTAGATAAGTTTATCGTCAACCTTATGCCTTGTCCAGAGGGGCGTGCCCAACGAGGGGTAATTGCACTGGACAACGATAAGGCTGAAGATACCCAGAGGGGCGTTCCCAACGAGAGGTACTTGCACTGGGGAGACTTAATTCCAGAGGGGCTTTTCCATCGAGAGGTACTTGCCCTGGTTTAAGTCTGCCTTTGCTGCGGCTTGCAGCGCAATTTATATTAATTTATTGCTGAATTGCAATAAATATTCGATCGAATCGGCAATTAAATTAATAAGGTTGAATACCGGGTCCTCCTTTCCCAAGCAGCTAGTTGACAATATTGAGGAAAATTCAACAAAGTTCGTACCTACATAAGCTGCACCATAGAAAATATTAGAAATATTTACGAATAATAATGGAAAATACGATATGCAGAATAATTATGAAAAAAAAAAAAAAATTAATAACGGTTATATTATGTATATAAAATATTCTCTTGAAAAAAATAGTTTAGACATGGCTTGCCCCCCCCCCCCTGGATACGCCTATGAAATAGATAGTATGTGCTTCTTTTTTATTGTCATTGTGAGGAATTAAAAGGAAAAATCAACTTGAATAGTTATTCAATTTATTACATTTATGTTAACAAAAAGATACTTAATTTATCCAAATAGAAATAATTAAGATTATGGTAAAAGTTATCCATTGTAGCCTTTCTCATACTGAAGGTCTTTGGTTAGAGTTGACATAGTGGAACAGTACAACCAAGAGGAATAATACAATTCCTAGGGCATTGGAGAGAACAGCCAAGTGAACGTCAGTGAACATACTGAAAAGAGAAATATTGATTGATTATTAGTGCATTAATTTATTTTTGATTGAGTGTCTTGGTGGAATTGAATTTCCACTATTGTGGGATTGGTTACAATATTTAAATTTCACGTTTTAAGTTGCATTTGAATTTATTTCAAAAATGAGGGGCAAGCATTCAGTAAAAAGGCGGTAAAACAGAAATCTGTCAGAATCACTCAAAACAACGGAAATATCGATTGAGCAGTTTTGTTTTAGAGGTTAGAGAAACGTCAGTTCAAGTTTTTCGTTATTTCTTGTTTATCATTTACAAAGATTGTATGCGGTGTTATTTAAAAAAACAAGAAATTGTGCCAAGCTATAAACTGTTATAAGTAATCAATAATTCTGGAGGTTATCGATCTATAGATAAAACAAGAGGTAAGTGGCAACATATGATTGGTTAGTTTTGTTGGTTCCAGTTTATGGACAAGTTGAACAAAATGTACGCCTATCGGATTATGGGGCATTTTCCTTACAAAACAATTTGCTAAATACTTACTTGAATTATTAGAGTTTTTATAAAATATTAATTTATTATATTTCCTGTTTTTTTTTTCTATTTTTGTATGTGTAAAGTTTAGGGTGTTCGGTTTCGGTTCGTGGAGGGGAGCTTTTCGTCGTTTTTTCGTCAATTTTGACATTGACTTCGACAAATGAAAGGCTGGAAGATTTCTATGCTACGTTCCCAAATCTGTTCTTCTGATCCGAACAGTTCCTTTTTACACTAGAGCAAAACGAGATTATCTCTCGGTCCAATATTACATTTTCGAGCAAATATTTTTTTAGCCGCATTCTTTCGCAAAATATTTGAATCATGATTCCGAGATCCTGATCCGTTCGTTCAGATGGAACATGTTTCATTTATTAGTCCGAAAAAACGCTGTCACTGATGTGTCACTGCCAGCTGGTGCTTTTCCTCTATTCTCTATTTTTTGAGTTGGTTATATTCAAGGTTATATTATATTTTGCAGTTTTTTGATTTGCTACGTTTGTTTTTCTGTGCCTATAATAATGGACGAGCTTACAAAATTTATATTTTGCAGAAAGCGCAAAAAGTAAACAAGAAATAATTTGAAAGTTGAGGTTAGATTTTCGCGATCGGAACAAACTAATCACAAACAAAAAATGTTCAATATGTTCAGAATTTCTCGGATCATGATTCGTTAACTGTCATTTGCCAAAATGCGAAAGAACGTGATCACTGGAACATAACGCGTTTTGATCAACTGGGGTGCGATTTTCGAGACCATTCGAGTACATTTCGTACACGAAATTTGTCTGCTCCCCATTTAATTTACATTGCTGTCAGTCAAATTTCGTGTACGAAATGTACTCGAATGGTTTCGAAAATCGCACCCCTGATCCGGTCCGAAAGAATGCGGCTTTTTTTTCTTCTGGATTTGTGAAGAGAGTTCTCAAAGGTTAATGTCAATGTCACTTTTCAAATTCAGAAAAAAAGAAGAAAACCGTGAAATTATTTCACAGAAAGACTGTTCCATTGCAAGAATAATACACAGGAATAGGATTGCTTATCGGCCTGGTCTTCGGGAATCGTGGCCATATTGTGTAGCACCATTGACAACGTCATCAACTACGTCGTCAGCTGTTTGCGCCAGGGGTCGTAGTTGAGAATTTAAATTATAATGAAAAATATTTTTTTACCAGTATGAACCGTTGAAACCGAAATTTTTGGTCCGAATCGGATCTAAATTTTCTCTTAGAACCGGAACCGTAACGGAACCAATATTTGCCATGATGCTGTGGACCGGAACCGGAACGGAATCGATATTTTATTTCGGTCCGGGTCCCTGTTCCGTAGTGGTGTGTAGTATCCTTGTGAACACCCCTTGTGAACACCCTACTTCAAGGCGATAAACGACACGCTGCCTACGTCATCAGTGTTTCTTTGGCGTGGTCGGGGCTTGATCTACTCAGGCGTTATGAGGATAAGCTATCCTGTAGTAGAAGGGTGTATTATCCTTAGTTCATTCCTTGGTTGTTCATCCTCTTTTTGTTATGCGTCAACCTGTTCAAAAATACCTATCGCTCCAATCTACTCCCCGATTAGTTTTGGAATATTATGTAACTGTTGTATTATTTTTCCCACTCGCGTGCGGTAAAGTGCACTTTTCAGCACCTTTTTTTATTTATATGATCCTAATAAAAACAATTTCCTTTTAATATTGAAATATTCACTATTTCATTTCCATCTTGCACATTCCTAATGAGTTTTTTAGGTCCAGTTTATTCATCTTTAGATAAACTTGCTGATAACTATCTACAAGATAAGTTTACCGTTCCATAATTATTAATTATATTAGTTGACGAATAATTTGCCGATCAATGGGATTACAGATTGGGTTTTTATCCATCAGCTTGCATTCTTGACAGTTCATCAGAAGGTCAATAAACCGACCCTAAGGCTAGGTTTATTAATCAATCTCTAGATAAACTTGCTGGCAATTATCTGCAAAATAAATTTACCGTTCTCTAAAGGGCCCCATACACTACGTTCTTTCCCGTCGGTTTTCATCGCCACGATGAAACACGTCGTTCCAAAACCGAAGTGTGTGGTAGAAAACCATCTCGTGTTTCATCGTAGTGTATGGGGCCCTTAAGTCTATTGGTTGGCGGACAATGACCGACCAATGGAATTACAAATTGCGTCAGATTGCATACCTGATCAGAAGGTGAATAAACCGGCCATAAATCAAATAAATTTCCAAGTGGTTTTTATTTAAAAATTTTAAAATACAAAGGTCAATTTTAAGCGATTGACCGATCGGTCATCTTGACAGATAAACCATTAATTAAGCGTCATTTGTCAACCAATTGGTCTTAACCAATAAACTATAACCAAAAACTGGAATGCGAACACATATTGACGAACGTGAAGCCTAGTGCCGCTGCTGCGGAGGGGATACCTGTTTTTGTCGCACTCATTATGTTAAATGGCGAAAATTGCTTCCAACACGTATTCCAATTGATGAAACCTGTGAAGGTAAATATGACAAAACTTTCCAAAACGTCATATGTCAGCGAGCAACAGAAAAAAACAACATTCCCCTTTGTGGCATCTGTCTTTCATGGCTACATTTTTTTGGCAGATATGGCAATGTGTGCGCATTCCAGTTTTTAACTATAGTTCATTGGTCTTAACTGACGTTAAATGCATTGCTTATCTGTCAAATGACCGACTGGTCAATCGCTTCAAATTGGCTATAGCCTCTGCACTCAATTTGCAGTGCCAACTGAGAAAAATACAATTTTTTCGCATTTCATAGGTTTTAAATTGAAACAGGCATTACATAATATGTTATGTATCGTTAGTTAGCGGAAAAAAGTCGCTTATAATTAGGATATGTGTCCCATCAAAAAAAAAAAAAAACAGTTTGTGTTAATAAAACCTCGGTTAAAATTTCTAGAAATTTAACAATTTTTTTTTTTAATACGCCAATGAGAAAAATTTATACGAGAAAAACTTATCTAGGGCCGTTTTCACTTCTTTTCTATCATTCGTAGTTCCTGAAGACGCGAAAGATGGAGAAAACTCAAAAAAGCACCTGTATTTCGTAAATGAAACGAGCTATCAATAAACGGGTTGCGGCAGTGGATTCACACTAAAAAAATGGGACAGGAATCCGCTATCAGTTTTTTTCTACCTACCCTAGGCTCAAAGATAACCCCAATATCATCTTGTATGTACAATATAATGTTGCAATTTCAAATTTTGACTTTAATAAAATGATAATTTGTTTTGAGACCGCCCAAACTCCATGTTGTAGATTAATGTAAGATTTGAAGCCGGAAGTTTTGAAAATGGTGCAGTGCAGCCTACCTTGGAATTATAATGTACAAGCATGTGGGATTCCATTGGAATTCCGTGGGATTCTGTGGCATTCCTTGGAATTCCAGTGGGGTCCCGTGGAATTTCTCAGTTTGCTTGATGAATCGATGTCTTTAGTTTATACCTATAGTGGCGACTGAACTGAAGAACAAAACTTTTTTGTCCACAGTTTTTGCTTGCTAGGGGTCAAAATAATTATTTATGGAATTCCTCGAGAAATTCCATTGGATTCCAATCCAATAGGATGCCATGTGATTCCAGTAGAATACCGCGGGATTCCAGTAGGATTGCGTGGGATTTCAGTAGGATTCCGTGGTATTCTGTAAGATTCCCTGGGATTCCTTGGGATTCCGTGGAATTCCTTGAGAAATTCTTGCTAGTGTTCAAAATAATTCTAAAAATTCACAAGAAATTCCATGGAATTTTCTGAGAAATCCAATAGAATTGCTCAAGGAATTCCGTGAGATTCCAGTAGAACTCCGTGAGATTCCAGTAGGATTCCGTAGGATTCTAGTAGCATACCGTGGGATTCCAGTAGGATTGCGTGGGATTTCAGTAGGATTCCGTACGATTCCAGAAAGACATCGTGGGATTCCAGTAGGATTTTGTGGGATTCCGTTAAAAGTGGGATTCTGGTGTACACACTTTTCAAGGTGTGGTTCACCTCTCGAGTGCAGCCGAAAAATTAAGAACAAAATTTCTTTCTCTCGCCCTCATCGCCCTATCTCTGGAACTTCAAATGAGATGAAATTTCCAGGATTTGTAGTCCTTCACTAGAATAAGATTCTCTGAAAATTCTGTGGTACAGTTGGAGTTATCGATTTTTCCTAATTTTATAAATTCATCTTCAAAGATATACCACCTAGTTTCAATTTCACTTTTCTAAAGACCTGGAAAATTGGAACATTCAACCACTACTACTGCTAGAAATTATAAAAAATTATCAAGGGGATAGATACTTTAATAACTGGAGGCAAATATTTGAAAATAAAGTACCTAACTTCCGGTACAAGCTTGGGCTTCGGAACAAGTAGGTAAATGAGACGCGGATTAGAAAATGTTATTTAAAATTTTTGTTGTAAAGCAGGTACCCCTCAAGGTACCCTAAAGGTTACTGAAAAACCAACAGAGATTTTGCGATTAATAATTCTATGAAAAAGCGTACTTGAAAATGTTCTGGACTCAATTAATGAAAAGTAATTTCGAGAAGATATTTTAATCAGAATGAAGCATGAGGAAGATTTTCACAGATATCGTTATGAACTTCCTAATATGTTCGAGAATATGTTATCAAAGATCTTGAATAAGAAATTAAAATAATAAATAATTAAAGAATTTGCCAGTCTTGTCCCAAACCATTGATACCGCAAGTTGCTAAACTAAATTACCACAGGTCAACGAGAATGCCGGAAGCTATAGAAGCTCCCAAAATTAAATACCCGAGGGGTAAACCACTTTGAAAAATGTGTACACCAGAATCCCACTTTCAACGGAATCCCACGAAATCCTACTGGAGTCCTACGATATCCTACTGAAATCCCACGGAATCCTACTGAAATCCCACGCAATCCTACTAGAATCCAACAGAATTCTTCTTCTGGTGAATTTTTAAAATTATTTTGAACGCTAGCAAGTAAAGACTCTGGACAAAAAAGTCTCTTGTTTTCCAGTTTGGCCGCCACTACATTAGGTACAAACTGAAAACATAGATTTATCAAGCAAACTAAGGAATCCCATTGGAATTCGGAATTCCAATGGAATCTTGCTGGAATTCCTCGGATTCCCACTGGAAGCCACGGAATCCCAAGGAATTCCACAGGAATCCCATGGAATCCTACTGATATCCCACGGAATCGTATTAAAATCCCACGCAATCCTACTTGAATTCCACGGTATCCTACTGGTATCCCACGGAATCCTACTGAAATGCAATGGAATTCCTCGAGAAATCCCATGGAACTTCTTATGAATTTTTAGAATTATCTTGAACGTTAGCAAGCAAAGACTTTGGACAAAAAGGTCTTGTTCTTCAATTTAGTCGCCACTATAGGTACAAACTAAAGACATCGACTCAGCAAACTAAGGAATCTTATTGGAATCTCACCGGAATTCCAGAGAATCCTACTGGAATTTCACGGCATCCCGCACGAGGAATCCCACAGAATTCTACTGTGGTTTACGCCTCGTAAATTCTTTACCCTCAGATAATAAATATTTATTATGTAATATTTTTGCTAAGAGTATAGTTAGGGAAATACAAGATGCCCGTAAATAAATGCAACAAAGATTGTATTTCTTATTTTTGGTAAATGGCTCCCTTTTGGAGTTACAGCCTCCTAGAATTTGCCACTAAGTATATAATTTTTTTTATTTCTCAGAACCCTGTTGTACGAGAATCACTAGTTTAGTACACTAGAGTTTTATGAGATTAAAAACTGGATGGTGCTACGATTTTAGTTGGAGAACCCCCTTAAGACATTTTTTGTGCCCCCCCCCCCTTTCTTTGGACTCTAAAAACTTTGATTGCGTATTTGAATTTTTGAAAAAATATTATTCATCAATTACTCGATGTTACTTTTTCATTTTCAGAAATGTTTGTTGCCTCAGCTTCGTCCACCGTCAAGTTTCACGACTTTCCCGGCAACCAGCTCGTACACACCTATCAACCCACCTGTAAAACCAATGGTTCGTGTAAAAGCTTGTCTTGGTCGAAAGATGGCAACTGGCTAGCTGTGGTTCCCAATGCCGGAAACACCGAAATTGTCTCTCTGAAAGGGCATTGCAAGCTTATCCATACTGTTCACGATGTTGCTGAACCCTCGTGTGCCAGCTTTCCAAATTTAACCAAAAGAAACCTCGCTATTGGCACTAAAAACGGCCAAGTACTGCTCTACGATATTAAGTCGAGAAACATCAAGGCTAGATATCCGAGAACTTCCAGCGCTATCACTCATGTGGGATTTACTGCAAAAGATACTCATTGCTATGCGGGCTGTGCTAATGGCAATATATTGCTGTTTAGTAGCATCGGTAAAAATTTATCATCTACCTTAAAAGTTCCGAAGTCACAATCACTAACAACTGTAAAAGCTCACGCACAAAAAAGGAATTATATCATTGCTGGCAGTAACGAAGGCATTGTTTCTGTGTGGGACTTCAACGTCAGTAGTAATAAAGTTAAATTTCAAGCAGGAGCCCATAGCGGACCTGTTAGTTCTGCTGTATTTTCTCCTCTAAATTGTGCATTAATTGTATCAGCTGGCCTAGACAGGGTCGTGCGTGTATTCGATATAGAATCAAATTCAAGAATTACCAGCATTCCTGTTGAAAATAACATACTTTCATTAGACTTTTTGGAGAATTCATTGTATATTGTTATGGGCGCACAAAATGGCAAAATTCATATTTACGATACAAGAAACTTGCAGAAACATTTACATTCCTTTGAAGCCCACACAAGTGCTATTAAACACATCACTTACCAAAAGAATTTAGAAGAAAATTTGGACAGTAATAATTCCTTGGACAATATATCCGCAGAAGTTCAAAAACAAACTAAATCAAACGAAGAAATTCCTGCAAGTAAAAAAAGAACAAGCGATTTTTTTGGTATTGTCCAAGGCCCATCGGCTTCAGTCAGCGAATCATTTGAAGACCGCATGCAAGCAGTAATCCAAGTTAATAATGTAACTGTTCCAGATGGCGGAGATTCGTTTATTAACTTACTGGGATTAGACAGAAATAACACTTTGGATTCGTTTAAAGAGGAAAGTGCTGATAACGAAGAACGTCTATTGGAAAATATTCATACTCCAAATCCACCAAAAGATGAGGTACTAAAATTTCTCGATTCTAACTCAAAACTGAAACAATCCACCTCTACACCGAAATTTCCTCAACAAGATTTCACAAACGAAATGTCCCCGATTATAATTGCCTCCACAAGTCAAGCCAGTAAAACTCCTGTCAATTTTAATACCGCTAGCATTCTGGATTTATCCAAACAAATGGTCCAAGGCGAAGTAAAGAAAGCCCTGGACGATATGGAAACTAAACTGACTTATCAGTTTATGACGCACACACATCAGATTAGACGAATGGTGTTGGATTTGCACATGGCTTCTATAAAAGAGTTCGGCAAGCTTGAACATAGTTGCAATAAGATAAGAGATCACGTAAAAGCCGCAGAGCCTACAGGGTCTAGTAGAGAGGATGCTTTGTTTGAGGAAATTGTTAATCTCAAAATGAAAAACCAGGAATTGGAATCTGAATTGGCAAGGCTTAAGGTTAGTCAGGAGAATGCTAGTAATAATAATTAGTAGGTATTTGGTTTAATGATAAAGGTGCCTTTTATTATTAACTATTTTGATATTTTTGTAAGAAACTCGGATGTATTTTTTGTATGAATTTAATAAATATTTTTTGCCTTTAGTTTTTTTATTCTTATCAGCTCTTGTCTTCTCCCGGAGTTTTTTCAAATAATAATTATTGGATAAGTACCTACCTACTACTCAGATAGTGGGAGTATAAAGCACCCTCTCCTAACAGCTAATGGGAAAAATTGGCTTTGACGAGTTTCTCTCTTCTGGATTTGTTTCTACCAGCAGAAATCATGGATAAATCAGGAGTTTTTCAAAGAAACCAACAAAAAAAGAAAATTATGGGACAAGTTTAGGGCAATAAAATAGCAGAGAATAATGTCTACAATCCAGAACAATGATTTGAAGCAGAAATTAACTGAGGCCAGAAAAAGTTATGAACATGAATTATTCATACTGACGAATCGCCCGAAAGAATATTTTTCTACAAACGTCACTAAAAGTGTAATTTTTAACGCATGATGTCAGTGTCTAAAATGCCATTTTATGACACTGCTGCTAAAAGTGATTACTTTTAGCACTAGTGCTAAAAGTAATCACTTTTAGTGCGTTTGTAGAAAAAATAGTGTATGATATTCGTGCTAAAAGTAATTTTATTTTGTTCAAAGGAATGGAACACTCCGCCTTCGGCGTCGTGTTCCAAACTTCCCTTTTCACAAAATAAAATGTCACTTTTAGCACTTATATCATAAACAACTATTATTTACTCAATCAGTACGCTACAGAATAACAATAAGTTTTCTAAATGGTACATACATGAAAATATGGTAAAAAAAAAATAATAAGATATAGGACAAAATCACAGTGAACAACAGTTCGACTAGTAGGTACCTACTGTAGGTAGTACACATAAGCAAATATAAATTAAAATCTAAAGTTTAGACACACGTTTAATCGACAATAAGGAACAATTTAAAAGATCACACTCCCTATAATTTCTGTTGTAATGACAAATCATTCTGTCCACAAAAGCTGTGAATCCATAATTCGTTCTGTGCGGGTGCTCATAAAAAAGTTGATGTCTGATTCGTCTAATGGGTACCAAAAATAATATTGATTGCAATCTATCCAATTATCCAGGATTTTGTAAAGAATAATGAGTAGGGCGTGTTTCCGTCTCTGCTCAAGACTCATCATCCCACACAGCAACAGTCTGGTTTCATACGGTATTTCAGATGAAGGAAAGCGGTGTTCATATAGTAGGTATTTTAGAAATCTGTTTTGGACGTTCTCTAGTCTATTAATATGGATGGTATATAATGTGGGGACCAGATGACGGAACAGTATTCAAGAGTGCTGCGTACAAGGGCGTTGTAATAAAGACATGTAAGTGCTTTTGTTTCGTTAATCTGTTTGGTATTTCGCTTAATGAAGCCAAGCAATCTGCAGCTTTTGACAACAATATTATCGATGTGCATTTTGAATATCAGTTTTTGATCGAACGTTACTCCAAGGTCATCAATTTGTTGACCACCAATCTTATATGTTGACATGTGAGGAGATGTACTCTTGTGGAATGATATTGATTTGCATTTGGATATGTTGATTTTCAGTAGGTTTGATGAACACCAAGAAGCAAATCTGTCGAGATCTGGTTTCAGTGAGTTGGAAACTCAATTCCTAACATAAAATTTCAGGTCATCAGCATACAGGAGAAAGTGCGAAGAACCTATGCAGGAGGAAACATCATTGATAAACAACAGAAACAGGAAAAGAACAGGTCCCATGTGTGATCCTTGGGGAACACCCGAGGTGACCTTGACGTTTTTTGAGGAGTAGCCACACACTTCAACCCTCCTGGGTTCGATCTCCAAGATATGATCTGATCCATGCTAAATAGTTTCCAGAAATACCAATTTCTGATAGTTTTTTTATAAGAAGGATGGCACACGCTATCAAAAGCCTTGGCTAGATCTGTGTAAATGGAGTCGACCTTGTATCCAGCCTCAACGGAGGTTATTAAGAAGTTCTGGTAGACTGCTAGGTTGGATGCAGTTGAACGCTTGCTAAAGAATCCGTGCTGTTCTGGTAAGGTAAAGTCTATAAGCTCCGAATATTTCTTCGGTTAAGATTGATTTGAATACTTTTGGGATGGCAGAAAGTATCGATATTCCACGGTAGTTATCAACATCGCACCTAGCTCCAGACTCGAAAATGGGAAGAAGGAGAGAAAACTTCCACTTTTCAAGAAAAAAGTCACAATCCAAAGATCGTTGAAAAATAATGCAAAGTGGTAAAGGCTAAAGCAGGACGCGCACTGAATCGACTCGGACCGGTCGACTCGGCGAAGAGCATTCGGTAGTTTTTGATACACATGCAATTAAATGAGACTCGAGTCGACCACGTCGAGTCGACGAGTCCGATGCCGTGCGCGGAGTCTCATTTAATTGCATGAGTATCAAAAACTACCGAATGCTCTTCGCCGAGTCGACCGGTCCGAGTCGATTCAGTGCGCGTCCTGCTTAAAGCAGAAAAATGTTTGACTTTTCGAGGGATCAGGTGCTCAGTGTTGGTAAAATATAACAAGTAGCACATGTCAATGCGGACTTTAGTCTCACGACGAATTTTAGTGTAGGCTTCATAGTCACCTTTCAGTCCTGATTCCTTGTATTTCTTATATATATATAATCTATTCTTTCGCACGAAGCATTTACGTCCTTTGTCATACCATTTAGGATTTTTATCGCTCTTTATTGTTTTCTCTGGGACTGAAAGGTTAATACCCTGAAAAAGGGTTTCATAGAAGAGAGTGATCATTGTATCGACGACGGTTATTGAGGGCAAAAAAGACCAGTTTGTCTGCTCATAAAAGTGGTTAAGTTCCGAGTAATTGGCACGATGAAAATCAAATACTTTTACCTCAGTTCTGACAATTAACGTCTTAATCTGTCCCAGGGAGGGTGGTAAGCATCCATTGTCACCAGAGGGTCACTGGGTGTGATGGAGAGATCAATCTAGTCGTCGACGAAAATTAGGTCCAGAGTTCTGCCCAGATGATTCTGAACGATGTTCATCTGTTGCAGTTCAAGGAAGTACATGGTATCCATGAGCACCTCGGCAGAAGCTGATGGTAGTTCCTTAAGCACTATTGTGTCGTCTTCAAATACCCACTCATCAATTGATGGCAGGTTAAAATCACCAAATATAAGAAATCTGTGTTTAGAATAAGTGTTCTTGAGAGTTTCACAGGTGTCACAGAAAGACTGATAACAATCGACCGTAGAGTTGGGGGAAAAGTAGATACAGCCAACAATAATTTTACTTCCGTCGTGATCCAGCTGAACCCAAACATCCTCGTAAAGGTTCGTTTGAGATGTAGAGATACCTGAGGAGTGAAGGTGCCCCAGTTTAGCAATTAGTAATCCGCCCCCACGTTGACTGCACAGCTCATTATAGTTCCTATCTCTTCGAAAAACTGTGTACCTGGGAGTTGAGAATTCAGGGTTGTAGAAAGTGTCATTCAGCCAGGTTTCGGTTAATGCTATTATTTCAAAGTTACATGCGGACGATGATCTCATAATTTCGTTAGATTTAGTCCTTAGACCACGAACATTCTGATGAAAAGTGGTTACGATTTTCGATGGGCGTACAAAATCCAGGTTTAAATTTGAAGCGTTGCTTGTGTCGTTTTTGGAATTAGAAGGAATGTGTATTGACGGGTCAGAGCTCTGCGAGTACATGCCCCCAACTCCAGCAGTTATTTTTTTAGTTACACAGGATGGGCGAATTTTTGTTACCCATAGGTGTTAAGCCAAGTTAATTTTATTCCTAAAGTCTATAATCCCATCATGACTGACCAATAGCAGAGACAGAAACAGAACATTGGCGCCACTGTCGTCGATAATGTTAGAAATAACCTGATTGTGGTCGTAGATAATTTGATTTAAGACTGGTCTGTTGGTATGTAAGGGTGGACCAATAAGTATTAGGTTTGTTTTGTAACCAACTTCCAGTAAGGCAGAACAGTCGCCTTCTTGATTGAATGCCCTGTAATGGCGTTTTCGGAGCCTCAAAACAATATGACATGGTCATTGAAAGTAAGGTTTTTAGAAAGTACGAGGTAAAGAGAGACGGCATCTTCAAATTTGAGGCGGTCGCGGTCAAAATATATACCTAAGCAGGAACCTGAACTCGCAACAATTCCATGGCAGAACCTTCACTCTCCCTGTTTTACCGATCCATACGAGGGTTGAAGAGTCTTTTGAATCTATAACTTCCAATAAAGACAAAGTCAAAGAAGCCCTAAAGAGTATGGAAAAAGAGTTCAGTTTAGTCCCGGATGAAATACCTGAGATAGTACTGCAGAACGGTGATGAATCGATCAGTTCTCGACTAGCTGAGGCTATGCAGGAATGTTTAACACTTGGAAAAATTTCACAGCAATGGAAATGAAAAAATAGTGACTCCGCTATTCAAAAAGGGTGATCAACATAGACCAGAAAACCATAGGCCTATTAGTCTAACATGCAATCCACTAAAATGCATGAAAAAGATACCTAATTGTTAGGGACCTGATGACAGCGTTTTTCTTTGAAAAAAATCTCGTATCACTCTCACAACACGGATATCTCTCTAAATATTCTACAACAACAAATTTACTCGAATGTCTTCAAGACTGAACAACCATGATAATTCTCAACCCACAGATGTGATCTATCTCGATTATAAAACAGCATTCGATAAAGTCCCACATAATCTACTTCTAGGAAAGTTGAAACGCTTTGGAGTGAGAGGTCAACTCATTGCAGTAATAGAGGACCTACTGCATGAGAGATTTTATCAAGTTAGAGTAGGTAAATGGTGTGCTGTCAAATCAACATATTTTTAGTAGCGGAGTTGTCCAGGGTTCGGCATGGGCCCTTTGCTGTCCACATCATATTTGTTTGATTTTGTCAGTCGCATTGAATACATTCCGCTAGTACATGTAGGGAAGCTGAGACTGACCTGAAAACTGTTGAAGAATGGGTCTACAGATTGGGGAACGATGGAATGATAGTTGAATGAGGCCAAATGTACAGTCTCAAGAATCGGTCCAAAGAATCCAAACGAAGAATACTAACTAAACTATGTGACATCACAATCTGTTGTAAATCAAAATGACCTAGGAGCCATGATAACTTCAGAACTGAAATGGGAGGATCACATTTTAAAGATTGCCAAAAAAGCCAATTCTTTTGTATGCCTCATTAAACAAGTATTTAAAGACCATTCGATATGCAAACTGTAGAAAAGTTACAAGCTTTGTTCCAACCGACATGAAAACCGTTCTGGAACGGTAATTTGTAGTCGATCAATTCATTTGTCAAGTAGGATAAACGTTCAACTTATTGAAAATTAGGTAGGCAACTGGAAATTATTGGTTCTGGAACGGTTCTTATGTCGGTTGGACCAGAGCTACATACGACCAAAACATGAATACCTACGCGTTCTCAGAGTCGAATCCCTATTATGTTGAAGATTAAGAAGTTCTAGAGAAGATACAAAGACTAGTTACAATAATACCATCAGAACTATGAGACCTTCCATATACAGAGTGATTGACAAGACTAAAACTAACAACTTTTAAAGGAGAGAAGACATAGAAGACTTAATCGAAACGTTCAAAATACCCAGTAACCAGTAGCTAAACTATAATTATTGCAATATCAGAGAAATCTTTGTACAAAACCAAAACTATATTCGTAGACACTTCAAGAAACTCGAAAAAGGAAAAACCGAAAAACTGCCCAAAAGAAACTTTCTGAACAACAGGAGTTGTTTATTCATGGAACGCCTTGGAGGAGCAGACAGTGTCAGCAAGTGTCCACACGTTCAAAAATAGACTAGACAAAGAATTCGAGAATACAGTTAGAATGATACACTAAAGTGCGTAAATAGTTTTCAATACACATACAAGAAAAACAGATTTTTAAACGGCTATTGGACAAATCACATGATTACATAGGTTTTGAAAAATCAGGAAAGGTGCGTTTTCTTTCTTAGCGGGTGATTTGATCGATAAGGAGGTGATGATAGGTGATTGAAAATTCCACTTCTCAACTTTCTCAACAAATCGAATAAAATGGACGTTTTTTAAAACAAGCCTATTGGGAAATCGGCTCATTATAAAATTTCCGAAGCAAATTGAATTAGTTTTCAAGAGTTTCAGGAATCACTCAACTATACAGTTAATTTGAAAAACAGCTGGATGATGACAAGGAATTTTTCGATTCTAAAAACAAATTATTGCATCTATAAAACATTAACAATTTTAACCTTGAACGTGTGTTGGATAGGTACCTAATAAAGCATAAAAAAGTGGTCCTACTATCATAAAGAGCTTAAAGTTTAAAACTAATTATTCTTCTAGCCAGTTATTTTAAATAGCCTTTTAGATGCTTTATATACCAACAAAAATATTCTACATTGATATAAAATAACCGAACAAACAAATAAGTAGTGGTGGGTGTGTAGTACCTTTACTCGGCGGCAACTTCCGCAAAATATGCAACAACTATCTGGTACCCAGTCGTTCAGTCTCAGTCATTCTTCGTCGTACTGCTTGGTACCGTAACGTACCGTCAACAGGATTTTTTGTGTCGTTAGTTCCACCTAGTATAGATGACGTGTTTGAGTTCTAAATTGGGGCTTTAAAAGATTTCTACAAGTTTTTTGGATTAGCTTTAAGGTAAGTATAATATGGGTTGTTTAAAAAATATTTAGTTGAATGAAAAAAAAGCGAGGTGTAGTTTTTGGATGGAATTTTTATTCACTTAACCTGTAAGCTTTAATGTTTTTTTTTTTAAAATAATTTATTTAATGGTACGAATGCTGAATATTTGGGTTTATTCCCAACTGAATATGGTGAGACGCAAAATAAGGAATTCTAAATTTACAACTGTCGTCATGTTTTTTATCGCTTACTTAATTGAAAATTAATATCATCAATTTATTGACGAACACCTAAAAACAATTTGTCGTGTGGTTTCCTTCTAGAAAGTGTGCAATAAATCGAAAAATGTTTACTCACTTTCCTATAATTGTATATAAAAGCGGCAAATACATTTTGTATTAAAAGGGAAAGTGCATGGGATAATTTTTTTATGCGTCTTGAAAGAAAATAAAACGGCAAATTAAGTTCTAATTTAAAAAGAAAAAAACTATTAGACATGAAAAATCATTTTGAAGTTATTTAATAGTCATAATTTGACTATTGATCTAAAAATTTTAAAAAATTGAAAAGTTGGTTTCCAAGAAATAGGTACTGCATATTCTCAGAATCTGGAGCGAGATTAGATGCAAATTGAAGTAAAAATTTTGGAGGTGAAAGCCTGAACTTGAAGCATTTATATCTCTTATAAAATCATTTTAATTATTCAATATGCAAATATCAACACTGTTGTTAATTGTTTGACAAAATCCGTTATTGTTTAATTTAATAATTTAATTTCAAGACATGATCCAGCGATGATCCCAAGGTCGTTGATCATAAAACGTGTCCACAAGGTAAAATATCATTTTTATATAAAAAAAACCAGTGAAATAAACTAAAATATGTGTCTTGGTATGCTCGATATATCCGTCTAAGTAAATGTAGGTATACTTTCATTTTTCAACCACACGAATTAAATTTTGCACAATAGAGAGTAAAAGTGTTGTTTCAGACCCTAGCCTAGATTTAGGCATTTTTGAATTGTTCCACCCACAATCAGCATTACTGACATTTAAATATTAGTTTTTTACTTAGGAAATCCTCATTCATATGTATCAAAAGTTTAAACAATAAAAGGTTCTCAGCTTCTTTTCATTATTATTCTAAACTGCAATTATTTAATTCTCTTTTCATGCTGTCGGATTTTATCTACTTGAGAGAGTGTTTGAGCAATATAAAAATGATATTAAAATATGGACATATATTATTGCGGCCGTGCCTTCAGTTGTGGCAAAAGTTCATGCAATTATTCAAGTTATTGTTTGTTTTAATGGTATTATGGGTTCGGTTTTATTATATGAAGATCATTATACAGAGGGTTATTTGTTGAGTTTTGATTTTTTCAATCGAAGGTGTTGATGAAAGAAGAAAAAGGGATATTTTGGCTGTATTTTTGAAACACGCAAGTAAATGGTTTTCCATTGCTTTAGTTGGTCCATTGACATGAATCCTGTAATTCAGGCATTATCCACAGAAAGTAGCTATAAAAGGTTTCAAATCAATTACCAGCATCACTGACTTTGAAAAAATCCTGCTGAAGCTGCTGTGAGCTTTAACGTATTTAAAATTTTCTTGTTGATTTATTCTTTGTCAAATTTTAGATGGTCTCCATTTTTTCAAGTGAGTTCTTAGATTCTTTGGGATGGATTCGAACTCTCTGTTGGTGATACCTGGCATATGCGAATATGCGTAAATTATAGCTTATATAGGGAAATATAATGGTTTCTGATTCTGTTTCTGAAGTTTCCTTATCCTGTCTTCTCTGGCTTGGGAAATATTGTCTTCATTTCAAGTAGGGCGCGGGATTTTGGAAATTTGAAAACATATTTTAATACCCCTTCAAGAATTCTACCTACAAAGACTCTGAAAATATTTAAGAACTTCGAAGTGTTTCGAATGAGGGCAATGAGGCTCATTCCAGACAGCACACAAAGTCCTAAAGACGTTTTTTTTAGGTCTGCATTTAGTCTGAACTTCTGAAGACTGAAAAAAGACGTCCAGCAGACGTTCATAAGATGTCGTATATTCACATATCTTAGATCACTGAGCCACACTATTTGGTATTAGATGACGTCTTTAGAATGTCTTGGAAAAAATGTCATAAAGACGTTTTTAGACAGACGTTTGAAAGCCGTTGGGCTTTGTAACATACGACGTCTTTAAGATGTCGTTTGTGGACATCTTAGGGATGTTTTTATGAAACGAAAACTTCTCATAGAATTTGCTTCCCATTCAATTTCGATGGAAACTATTTGAAATGCTACAGAACACTTAGAAATTTAATAAGCCTTCTGGAAAGTTCAAAACACTTAAAATTCAATTCAGAATTTCCAAAAGTATTCTGTAGCGCCTCAGAACAATTTGGAAACTTCAGAACCATTTTGAAATGCTCCAAAACATTAAAAACCGATTTAAAATTTCCAAAAGCATTTTAGAGCAATTCAGAAGTTTGAAACACATTTTAAGATGCTCAAGGCGCTCAAGAGCGGAATCTAAATTGCAGAACTTTAATAAGCATCCAAAACAATTCAAATCCAAATCAGAATTTTCAAGAGCATTTTGGAACAATTTAGAAAATTTAGAGTTGTTTCAGAACAATTAGGATTCAATTTAGAACGGGAAAACTTTTAGAACTCTTTTGAACCATTTTGAAACACTTTAGAGTTTCCTCTGGGACTCTCAAATATTGTCAGAACAATTTAGAAATTACTGAAAAACTTCTAGAATGCTTCAGAACTCTTCAAGCGAAGTTAGAACACTTTTAGAACTTCAATACGCCATTTAGAACGTTCGAAAACACTTTCAGAGAGCCTAGCGCCTGAAATAGACAAAAATTAACTGTTATAAAATGAGTAATAATAGGGAAATACTAGCAAGAAAATATTCCTCTTTCAATTCAAATTCTCAAATTTTCATAATTTTTCCTATTCCAGGCTCTTGACTTTTCCTTATTTCTTTATTCAAAATCTTCAACTTTTTTTTGGCTCTCGAATTTCTCCATTCCAAGTTCTTGAATTCTATTCTCATTATTTTCGTATTTTAGAATTTCAGGATATATGAGTAATAATAATGAAATATTAGTCCTGAAGACGTTTTTAGGCAGACGACTGAAAGACGTTGGTTTATGTAACGTACGACGTTTTCAAGATGTCTTTAAAGGGGGTGTGACCCTAAAAAACGACTTAAGCTCTTAAATTAAGAAAAAAATTCTAAGATCTCTCGTGAAAACCGCAGTCCTAGTGTTGTAAAATTCTCGGTAATTTTCGAACGTTACCGAACTTTCGGGAATGTTTGAGAATTTTCGAGAATTTATGAGAAATTTGGAGAATGTTGCAAAAAAACTCTAAATTCAGCTTTTTGATATAGGGCTTGTAAAAATGTCTATTAATAATAAAGTTCCACTAAATTTTCCTATATTTCTTTTCTCTGGTAGAGGTAGGTGAATTTTCCATAAATGTAGATGTAAGCCTTGTCTAAGTATTATCAATTTATTGTAAAGACAATTATAATATTTATGAAACTTATACAAGTATTGTTTCTTGTAAGTTGGTGTAATCAAAAACAAACTAAAAAACAACGTATGTAGGATGTAGGTAGCAGTGGTAGCACCAAAAAATAATACTCAAAAATCTTTAAATGCGATTACCTACACAACATAACTATGTACATAAAGTGTTAAATCAAAACAAAAAATAATATAAAAAAATAAATAAAAAAATAAAAATAGGACTTAAAGTAGAACTTAAAAAACGAACTTTCTGTAGGTAATGGTAATAACACAAGTAGTTCTAAAATAAAAAAATAATGATAAAAATATTCAGAAATCAGGGTCCATGTTCATGATTAAACAATTAGGTAACGTTTAGAAATGCATTTTCAGCGAACTTTCGCTTAGAGAGGAGCGAACATTACCGTAAATTACGGTAATAGTGCGAACGTTCGCTCGGTAAAGTTCGCTTGTTGCAACACTACGCAGTCCCATATTCAAAATAGTCTCCGAGAAAATTCCATTTGAAGATAAATTATGCAGGAGCTTGTGATGTCACAACCGCCGAAATCGCAGTCTTTTGTTCGTTCAGTCGTCAGTGAACCGTACCCCATACTTTAAGTGGTTGCAATTCGCTCTAGGAGATAATTGTCTTTTGTTTTAGAAAATTCTTACACGTGATAGTGCTGTCCCTGATAATCCCGTGTGACGTCACAAAAACCTAGTTGTAACTTTAAACCGCCCTAACTCGAAAACGGATCATTGTAGCAAGATGCGGTTTAAATATTTATTCTTAGATTTTTTTGCACTAAAACTTTCATTTTTGGGTCACACCCGCTTCAAGGCGCTTTGAAGACGTAATCACACGTCTAGAAGACGTCTTGAATGTCATTTGTGGACATCTTAGGGGCGTCTTTAAGATATCTCTGTGCTGTCTGGGATATCATTTAAAACTACTTACCAATGCTTGAAGATTTTGAAGGAATGCAGACTCAAGACTTCGATTTTGTCTTGAATTGAAAGATCGTGAAAATACTTACTTCAGACGATTTTCCAGTAACAATAATAGAAAATGTCTAAAGACATATTTTTAACACGTTGACGGACACCTGAAAACAGCCCACATAACAAAATTTTAAATTGCATCCTTAGAATGTAATGGGAATGTTCTTTTTTTAGGAGGAATGTTCTGAGAAAAGATTGTAGAAATACTGTTTGCAATACCCAAGAACTTCCTGGGAAATCCATTAGGATATTCCTAGAATATACCTATGAGATTCTCTGTACATCCTGAAAAAAATATTCCTGTTTGATTCTAAAAATATTCTTGAAATGTATATTCTCACATTCAAAGAATGTTTCTATGACATTACAGTTATGTTCTCAAAAGAATATTATACCAATATGCTTGAAATATTCTTAGAATATGTCTACATATTATTATATCATTCTCAATATGCATTCAAGACATAACATTCTTGTCTGATTC